GATCAAATGACTTGAAATTCTCTGGTGACCTTGTGAAACATCCCCTCACATGTATTCCTTCCTGGAATTATCACCAAGAGATAAAAATAAAGAGCAAGTTAGGTCAGAAATATATTTTGCAGAGAGGATTGTTCAGACTGCTGAACCACTTACCACTAACTCTCCCATCTCCTTCTGAAGGGTCTGGTCGGGCTTGACATACCGAACCATAATTCCAGGAAACCTACTTACATCTACTTTCCTAATGGGATGTGATACTTTAAGTAAACAGCCCAGAATAATCCAGAACAAGCACTTCAAACTTTTGAACTCAACACTTAATCCAGTCAATCGGAACAGTAAGAAATATGAAGCCTTTTCTTGGAAATGAGCCCACGCTGTGGGAAATCTCTAGATGCTCATCAACAATAAAGATGCAAAAAAAAACTGCTTACGGACATCTGCACAACATTCCTCAAAGTTCATCAAAATTTACTCTGGGAAATGACTTCTTAACTCTGAGTAGTACTGAGAATTACTGAGAACTGAAGAAGCTGAACTCACAGCTGTAGGAGGATAAGACAAAAGATAGCCCCAAGGAGAACATCGGGGAAGAGGAGGGCAAGTTAAGAAACAAATCTAAAATGTTATGAAATTTCACATATCCTCCCTCCATTGTAGTCACTAAGAACGCGGTCGTTAGTCAATTGGCGGATCGCTCTCCGGATGTAACAATCCCTCCAAAAAAAGAAAATTTGGTCACTCAGTCCTCGACTGTCTGTGGGACACTCCTGTGCACAATTGGCTGCCGTGTTACGCCCACAAAATACAGTCACACGAACTGTAAACCGTTTTGAGATGTCTCAATGACGTGAAAAGGCACAAGATCAAAAGCAAGGATTATTATTGTTGTAAAAGTGTAGCTAATTATCTAACATCAATAGAAGTAAGAGCTAAGGGTGGAAGATCATGTAAATGGGATTAGCAAGATGGCTCCAATGTGCAGTTGACAGCTGGCTGGATTGGTTATTTGGGGACTGGAAGATGGGAAATCTAGTCTTCGGGTAATAAAAACATGTTTGAGAGTTTCAACTGTGGAGAAAGTGAGGTTGGGATAAAAGCGGGCAACACGTGGATCAGTTAATGCGGACAACATTCACCGATCTGAGATCTCAGTCCCAATTTATCCAATTACTCAGAGGAAGAGCAACTCTTAGCAGCCACGAATGCCTCAGCTTTGCTGGTGATATCACACATGAAAGAAGCTACGATGCATTTGGAATACACTAAACTTTCATGTCAGGAGGACATCCCAAGGCGCTGGATTGGATTTACAATACAACGTATGAGTTATGTCACACTTGCATAGAATTAAACTCTTGAACAGGACTTGAGCAGATGTACAACTTAGGTGATTTATACAGATTAGACTTAAGCGAGTCTTAGCGTACAATTAAACACAATTAAAACACTTTTCGATGAAGCACTGCACCCGTTCAAGTTGAGCGGCCGAGTGCATCGACATTATGTGGGTCTTCCAGTGGTTTTGAAGACTGAATCATTTGTTGAGCTTTCATACAACAGATTTGATCGTTTTTCATACTTTGCAGAACACACAGGATGAGTGACATAGTGACTGACCCCTGACCACAATGTAAATCTAAAATTGGATTGTTTGCGTGAACGAGTTCAGATTTGTTGTTCTTTTTTATGTTCAATAGCATGTGTAGCTGTCCCAATAACAATGTTGGGCCAGTCACTGACAAATGCGAGAAAAAGAACTAAAAACCACAGCAATCCCATTTCTTTTATAAACAAATCCGCAATCCAAATCTTGGTTTGGATGAAGTCAGCTATAGCTGACCTGAAGTCTGTGTTCTTGTTCTTTAAGGAACATTGTGAAACACCCGTCATGGCAAGGCCATGTTGATTTTTTGAAGTGTACGCTTGCTGAGTACATGGTCCCCACAGCAATCGGCTTGAGGTTTCCAAGAAGCAGATCACAGCTCCAGCAGTGACAGTGTGTGGACACTGCAGCGCAAAGCCAGAAAGTCACAGGTTTCAATCCACCTGATCTCAGTCACTAATTGAAGGCTCCAAGTTGGGAAGCAAAACATCGGTCTGTAATAACATGGGTGGATCTAGGCCAGGTCTTAGATGAAACGCGTGCAAGTGTGGATGAGGGCAGATTGGGTTTGGCTGCGACGCGATGCATTTCATATAACCTACCTACTGACATTTGCATTCACCACTGAGGTAATCTTAGAATGTCATAGGATAGAAACAGGATATTTGGCCGGGGGATTGAAGATAGTCCTGTATATAAATCATAACTAACTTCCAAATCCGACCCAGGAGAATGTTAATTCCAGTTCTCTGTCCAGCCCACATCCGTCTCAGTTAAGTGCAAGTAATACATTTGGCTGAAAAACCTCAACAGACCCACATTGTTTTTATTTGATGTCAAATGTCATCGACAGTGCAGAGCTGATGTTTAGTATCAAGTCAGGTTAGATGTATAAGTCAGCTTTGGACATGAATGTTTTTTTTTAAAAAAACAATTCCATACTTGTAGGACTGGATTGTTTCAAGTGTCAACCAGTGTCTCTTAGAAACCAAACCAGTAACCCTCTACCTAACCAATACTTCAGCCATCTGAGCAATTCCATCTTTTCAAATTATAATAATAAAATTGGTCACTTAATCCACGACTGTTTGTGGACGCTGCTGTGCACAATAATATAATAATAATCCTTGCATTTGATATAGCGCTTTTCATGTCTTCTAGACGACTCCAAGCGCTTCACAGAATATGCTGTAAAGTGAATGGACTGTATATTTGTGGGCGAAACGCGGCAGCCAATTGCTCACAGCAATGTCTCATAAATAGTCGTGGATTGAAAATGACCAATTTATTATTGTTTTGGAGGGATTATTATTAGGCTCTGTGTGGAGTAAGGAAACTTGCCCAAGGTTTCGCCCTCTGCCTGGAATTGCTTAAAAGGCGAGTACTCTAACCACTGAGCTACAGGACTCCATAATTAGCTGTTGTTTTTCGCCCACAAAATATAGTCAATTCATATATTGAATATATATTCTGTGATTCGCTTTGAGATGTCTCAAAGACGTCATAAGGCGCTATATCAAAAGCAAGAATTATTATTTTTTAATCTCATCAGAAAAATAGGATCCAGGCCAGGATGCGGAGAGGGTTCAACTGCATCTCGTTCATCTGTTATCCTTAGCAGCTCAAGTTGACATGTTAATAAAAAGCAATATAAATTAGATCAATTCATTAATTTGTGGCCGAAAGCAATTCTGTTTGAATTTACTGATGTTTGAAAAGGGGGCTCAGCAAGACAGGAACTTAAACAAAGGTAAGTGTAAAATAGTGAAAGAGTGCTGGAATTTTTCCTGAATAGTGCTGGGAAACAGAACATTTATTTCCACCTCTCCCTATCAATATTAAATACTCCCAGGTCAGGTACACTGTGAAATACGTTTGGAATTAATTAATTCTCATCACCCCAATTAATTCTCAAGTGCTGCACTTCACATCCTTTAGAAACTTGATTGAGCCTCCCCAGTCTCATTCTATTTAAATTCCTTAGCTGGTAAAGAGATATGCCTTTGAATAAGCCTTGAAACAAGAGGATTTTATATTTCTTTTCAGCTTCGGCAAGTGGCAGACATTTGAAACGAGTCATTAAAACAAGTTAACTGCTCATGATTGGTAACTTCAAAAAGGAACTGGACACAAATTTCATCAAGTACGCAATGAAATAATAAGATTCATATTCTTACTTCTCCACCCTTACCAAGAAAAAGGAAAATTGTCAATGCAGCTTTTTGTTTGGCTCTTTTGGGAGCTTAAACAAACAAAGATTTAATAACAGCAGTAATTGTACATAGTCCAGTGTTCTTACGAAAGTTCATCCTATCAATCTGGTCTTGATTTGAAATGAGGTTGCAAGGTGAAGCATCCAGTGCCTTGAATTTTACAATAAATAATAAAGCTGTTACTCAATTTAATCTGGCAGCAACTCCTTGCGTTTCTCCTTCTCAAGTATTTCCACATCAGGAACTGACTGTGATCTCTTCTCTCCTCTGTGCCAAAAGGACATCATCATCTCCTTTTCCTACTCATCTGGGATGCATGCACCCAATAGCCACTATATCAGGCTTTCATGGCTATGGTATAAAGTATCAAAACCTTCCCTTTTATTAATCTCACACACTGGCCATGCCTGATCATGAGTTAACCACCTTTTTGATGGGTGTTCAGAACAAATGCTGCAAGGGTTCCTCAATAATCTTTAACAAGGACTCAAAAAGCTAAGCTGAAAGGCCACAACACTGAAATGAGCTAAACACAGACAAATCTTCCATTAACACTAACCTCAACACTCATATTTTACACACGTATCTTCACGCAAAGATGAATAAACACAGGCCTTGTTGGCATAATACAGAAAGTTTTATTATGCAATAATTACCCACGTTATTATAGTTGACCTGATAAGTCAGATATTGGTATTAAAATTGTTGATGAGCAACCTATTTTCCCTGCTGTAAAATCTGATTACAGAACGTACCACGATATTCCAAGAAACCTTAGAAAGTTAAGCATTACGGGATGGGGAAAAGATAGGAATGGAAAAGAAAAAGATCATGGAAAAAGAAGTTCCATCGGCTATTTAGGAAATCAGAAAGGTCAAATGAAGGATATAAACTCTACAAATAATCATTCAAATATCAAAAGAAAAACAATAACAAGAGACAACCTATCCCACACCATACAAAGTGGTCGTGTGGTTCTTCTACTCTTGCTGCATTTAGTCGGGGACCTCAGTTAAGTTTATTCAAATGTATTCATGTATTCTTTCTATACATCGGCTACCTTTCTCCCCCACCCCCACCCTCCAACCCTCTTCATTCCAACTCCCAACTTGAGTACAAACCCTTAACTGTCCAGCGTTCTGGGACATCCTTCTGACGTGAAAGATACTCTATAAATGTAATTTGTTGTTGTTGCTATATTATATATATATGTATACACACATACACCTAAATGTATGCACTATCCATCGTATAGGTTAAGGTACTCAACTTGACTTGAGTTTTAAAACAAAAATATTACAATGTGCCAACCGCCATCTTAAAACTGGCTCTCACATCGCAGAGAATCCGAGAAATTACCACTTTGAGTTCACAAAGATACTGAGTCTCCTCAGGCAAATATCTTTAAACATTCCTATTGTCAGGGTGCCCATTAATTAGCAGGTCCATTAGTTACTGTATTGCCTATAAAGCTGCAACTAACCAAATGCGGCAGCAGGAGGCGTCTGAGCAAGAAATAATCTGAAAATTGGTGCCGAGGGGGGGGATACGATAAAAATTTAAATTCAGCTTCAGTTTTCTTAACAAAAGTTTTCCTCAACAAATGCCCCAATTCCATCAGTGGAGACTGAAAACCATCAGAAATGTAGTTGCAGATCAACAACAACAGCTTGCAATTATATAGCACCCTTCACGCGGGATAGGGTCCTGGAAAGCCTAATTAGATCAATTGGGTGCAGTACGGCCACGAAGAATAGTGAGAAGCTAATGCAGGAACAATCATGGAAACACAAACACAGAACAAACTATTACTTGGCTTTGAAACACAGCTAATAATAATAAAAAAAAAGCATCAAAATATATACATATTTAATACGGACACCGGTAACCTCCTGAAGGATTTCCTCCTGATCTATTTATTCCTGGCATCATCTGGCCTGAACGGTTATCAAGTGGATTAGGGCCATGCTGATAACCCCCTTGGATGAAGTTTCCTTGACTGAAAAAGGACAGCAACAAGGTAATTTACACACATAAAAAAAACACAAAACACAAATTTATCCAAATACTGAGGATTGCAGGACCAGTAATTTAAATTCCGTGCTTTGAAAAATTCACCAGTTTAAGGAAATATGAAGCATTTAAGAGGGATGGATGGAGTATAAAACAGCTCAGACTAGTTGGGCCAAATGGCGTTTCCATGCTGTAACGTTCCATGCAGTTCTCATTAAAACAAGGTCACTAACCCCAGAAGCTGGCTGCTGCAGCACTTAACTAAACCCGGAGCCTCACTATTTGACCCTAACACTTGAAGTGCTTTCATAGCTCAACAGCAGTCTCTAACGGCAGAAATTCAACATTTCACGAATCAGGAGAACAGTACAAAGCATTAAAATCCTCAAGCAACTTGCCTGGTCTCTCTTGCCTGCCCCCCTCACCTCAGCCCGCAACAAGTTTCAACCTTTGAATCACTATACGAGGTAAGTTGGAAGTGAAGTAGGAAGTTGATTTACGAATAAACTGTTTTTTTAATAGTTTTTTTTTAAAAAAATCAGGGATAATCCCACATTTGGAGCATCAAGTAGAGGCTTTAGAGCAGTTGTCTCAATCATCCATTCCTGAGGCTGTATTGCATGTTAATATGACGCTGTAAGGATATTTTGTTGTATTCAATGCCACTGATAGTACCTTTAAAATTCATTTAAGACTAAGGGTGTTTTTGTGAAGCATGGAGTGAGCTAACAAAGGGAATGTGCAAGATGTTAATTAGAATAACTAACGAAAATAAGGAGAACTGGATGGTGAGGTGAGTTTGCTGGGCTAACACTCCAATGCACACATCCCCATTAAAGATCCTGCAAAACATAGCAAAAGAGAAGGGAGGTTTTTTTTCCCCTTTCGGTGTCCTTAACAAAAACTATCCCTATGAAATGGTCATCCACCTTATGACTGTATGTGGGACCTTGCTGCGTGCAAACTGGTCATCAAGTTTGCCTACAAAACCAGTTACACCACTGACATTTTTATCTGTGAAGTACTTTGACTGGACAAAGCACCAAATAAAATGCAAGCCCTTCCTTTATTTAGCAGATGTACAAACTATATTCATTCTAACAAGTTTGAAGGTTATTGAATTATTTTATTAAAGGAAATATTTGTGCCGCTTACTTAGGAATTCCAGCTCTTCTCTGCATCATAAAGTCCTGCCCAGACTGGCTGTGCATGCCTCTGTCACCACCTGCAACAGCAATACACTTCTGGTTAATCCTCAGTTCATGATGTGTCATTAACAATACAAATCAATGCACATACAAATATTTCAAAAGCATTTTAGAGAAAAGACAGCCCATTTATTCATTAATAACACCATCAGCAAACGAGCCCCAACGCATGCCTATAAAATTCTCAACATTTTTGCACCATTAGGCAACTTATGTGTTATAGTTACTTTGGTACCTGCTGAGAATTAACTATTTGTGTCCATCACGTGCCTGTTTGCACATCATGTCAATTTATTTGTTTTTCTTCACCAATTTTGTTCCTTCCCCCTGGAAACATTTGACTAGTTTTTACTTCTATTAGAAGCTGCAAATGAATTGTAAATACCAATATTTTATAAACTAAACCTTAACATAAAGTTGGAAACAAGATCTCGAATGAACCTCATCTGATGGATAGTCCCAACAATGCAGCACAGCCCCATCACAAATAATAATCCCTCCAAAACCAAAAACAATAATAAATTGGTCATTTTCAATCTACGACTGTTTGTGGGACATTGCTGTGCGCAATTGGCTGCCGCAATCGCCCACAAATATACAGTCAATTCATTTTACAGTGTGTTCTGTGAAGCGCTTTGGGACGTCCTCCCGACGTGAAAAGCGCTATATCAAATGCAAGGATTATTATTATTATTATTATTATCACTGCATTGGCTAGATGACCTCAAAGTCCCAACATGGGGACTTTGAACCAACAACCTTCTAACTCAGAGGCAAGATGGCTACCAACTGAGCCAGGCTGACACCTGACACACAACAACAACAACAACATAATTACATATATAGAGCGCCTTTCACGTCAGGAGGACGTCCTAAAGAGCTGGACACCTTAATTACAGTCAGACACGAGGTTCACAAGAGAGAGCAAATATCTTTGCTTAAAATACCAATTGTCTATTTTCACTTTTTTTAAAACCACGGTATGGAAATGCAGCCTAGTAAGGTTTACCTTTCCAATAATCCCTGCCCATTATTCCTACTTCCATGCCGCCTTGCTGCGAATGATCAGGAAATCCCTCCATCTTCCAGCATTGATTATTGTTCCAACCCTGGCCGTACCTGATGAAAAGAAGCCATAAAATAACTCTTTAGTAAATACAAGACAATTAAGGCAAGACTTTTATGTTTTTATATTTTTACACTTCTTAATTTTGTTCTATGAAACTTCTTACTGCCTTTAGTCTTCCCTTTCCCTTACAATCTGCACATTTTAGACCTCTTCAATGTTAGTTCAGCCCCAGCAACAAAACCTGCACAACCTGCATCCAAGTAACAATCTTTACCTAACATCATTACAAGGTCTTTTTAGAGTTCGATCGAAGCACATCTCACGGAATAACTCTTCCTTTTCCCGGTAAATTCGCTCCTGTTCTCTCCTCCTCTCCTGTGCAGAAGTAACACAGTAGATTGCTACAAGCTGTTGGAGACTAAGACATTTTTATCTCTATGAAAACAAAAATTACTACTACACATCCAGTACCTCAAACTTGTACATTTTATTTTAATAAGCAAGAATGCCACCTTTATGACTTTTGGTTATTTATTCTGGCTCTGGATATTAGCCATATTTGGAAAGAGATTTAGGATGAGCCCAGTGGGAAAGCTCAAACCAACATTTAAAAAAAGAAAATACATTTGTTTCGTGCCTCATCATGTCAAATAATCCTTGCAGTTAATATAGCAACTTGTCACGTCTTCAACACATCTCAAAGTGCTTCACAGAATATACTGTAAAGTGAATTGGCTGAATATTTATGGGCGAAACGCAGCAGCTAATTGCGCACAGCAGTGTCCCACAAACAGTTGTGGATTGAGTGACCAATTTTTTTTGAAGGAATGATTACCCACAGAAAAGCAATCGGCCAATTGACTAGCAACCGGGTTCCTACTTACTACTAGGTAAACAGAGGTGTGTGGAGTAAGGAAACTTGCCTACAATTACACAGTACTTTGCAGTAAATTCATGTGAAGTTCTTTAAAACATGTCAATGACACGACAAAGCACTATGTCAAATGCAAGGATTATGTTTTAGTTACTGTCAACCATTCTGCATTGTTTCCTGTTTAAATCTAATAATAGCGGTACTACCTTTGCTGAAACATTACTCCATAGTATTGCTCAGGAGATTTTCAAATCTTTTGTGTTTGTTTTAAATGGCAGTTTATGCAATTGGGATAGAAAACCCTTAAAAGAAAAGAAAATCTTTTTATTCTCCGTCTCTCCATGTTGACATGAAACCCAACGTAAAGCTGATATCCTGCTAATTGGAATTAAGCACCAAAAGCACTCTAACTGGCTTTGGGCTCTACCATTGCAGTGTATAGTGGAGTGGGGGTGGGGGAAGGATCGCACACCCATAGAGCAGTCAATTTGTTGACTGGGTGTAAGTTTCAATAATGTGCTCATTGTCGTCACTGTTAATTAACACATTTTTTCTCTCTATTGCGCCCGTGTTGAAGCATTGCGAAACCTTGGGCAAGTTTCCTTACTCCACACTCCTAATAATAATCCATCCAAAAAACAAAAACAATAATAAATTGGCCATTTTCAATCTACGACTGTTTTGGGACGCTGCTGTGCACAATTGGCTGCCACGTTTTGCCCACAAATATACAGTCAATTCACTTTACAGTAATAATAATAATAATAATCCTTGCATTTGATATAGCGCTTTTCACGTCGGGAGGACGTCCCAAAGCGCTTCACAGAACACACTGTAAAGTGAATTGACTGTATATTTGTGGGCGAACGCGGCAGCCAATTGCGAACAGCAATGTCCCACAAACAGTCGTAGATTGAAAATGACCAATTTATTATTGTTTTTGGTTTTTTGGAGGGATTATTATTAGGCTCTGTGTGGAGTAAGGAAACTTGCCCAAGGTTTCGCCCCCTGCCTGGAATTGAACTCAGGTCTCTCACTTGCAAAGCGAGTGCTCTAACCACTGAGCTACAGGACTCCAGTATATTCTGTGAAGCGCTTTGAGACGTCAAGAAGACGTGAAAAGCGCTATATCAAATGCAAGGATTATTATTATTATTAAAGTCTCAAAACACGTAATTGTCAAATGTACTAATTATTTATTGTAAGTAAATGAGGCAGAAATATATGTCGTCAGGCCTCCACAAACAACCATGAGGTGAAAGACCAATTAAGTTAAGATGTCATTGAGAGGACATACTACATCAAATGCAAGGATTATTATAATCTGTAAGATTGTTGGCCAGGACACCAGGAGAAGCTCTCCTCTTCAATATTGTCATGGGATCTTTACCTATGGAAAGACTTTTTTTTAAAAATGTGTTACCTGAAGGATAAAGCAGTGTACTGTTCCCCCGGCACTAAAGTGCCACTTTAGCAATGTATTGGCACATAACTAATGTGTTTGTGTTATTGCTTATGGTGACCTTCTTTCGTTCATTCCTCCAGATAATATTCCAACCTTCCCTGGGTTCCCGTCCTCGCAATAATATACAAATAAGACTTGCATGTAAAGTAGCACCTCACCATATTGAAATATTAAGTACTTTATATAGTCGTTTGCCAACATAGCAGCTCGTGTAGGCCAGCTATATCTCACAATTAGCAGTGAAGAAGTGACCAATTAATCTGTTTGATAAGGGCCAAGTACTTTAATCTCATCCCTTCCCTGGATTCTCCCTTTACCCCTTCTATCAGCAATCGCTCTCTCTCCAGTGCCTCTCGCTCCATTCTCTCCCTTTCAAGGCGCATCCTCTCAAGCTGCAGGCGCTCCCGTTCCCTTTCCAGCAGATCTCGAGATTCCTGCTCCCGACGGCTTTCTTGCTCCCACGCTCCACGTTCTCTGGTGGGAAAACAAAACCAATGTTTCACGATTCAACAGGAGGTCAAAAAACAAATCGGGTAACCCGGCAATCGCAACCCTCGTGTCATCCTAATTTCAATCTAGAAATCCAGTTAATTCATAATTCTGCAACACGTATCCTCTCCTGTACCAGGCTCTGTGAGCTCCGATGTGCACCTATGATAATTTTCCTCCCCCCACCTCCCACCTTGCTCAGACCTCTATAAAGCTCATTCAGAGGTTATCCTTCATGAAAGACCACTTACTTGCCAGTTGTTGGTGTTATCAAAGGCTTAATTCTGATTTAAGTACAGATCAGGCTCCAGCTGGCAACACACGTTGCACATTAAAGTATCATCTTCACTGGCTTTGAAATCAAGTGCTTACTGGATGACCAAGATGAGAGACAAAAAGCTTAAAATGAGAAGATATTCACTCTCAAAAGCAGGCATTATTAACCTTCCCGATAGTGAAAAACAGGCTCTCATTTTTAAAAGTCCCCAAATTCCGACTCATTCCTTGAATACCTACAATAGTTGAAATTGCACCAAACCTTAGCTTGTAAGATTATTTTACCTACGATTTTACGATCAGAGAGAATTGCAGCCAACTCTTCAATCCAGTCAATTTAAGACTGTATCGTCTTTCAACACCAGTCAATTCAATTCCAGTCAGTTTGGTTTTCTGCAAGTTCCCAAAAAGAAGCGGTTTGTAAATTGACACTGAATTGAAGATTTTTTCACCGTTCCCTCTTGTCAGAAATTTAAGGCAAAATGGCTAAGACTCGGCAGAACTTCAGGCCTTTGAAATCTTCATTCAATGTGACATGTCACCAGAGGGCAGGATTCTCTGCATTAATCGCCCTGCACAAATCACAGCAAGGAGAGGGAATAGAATGTCTGCACTTACATCCAGCTAAATAATGGTACAAAAGTGTTTGAACTGGACAGTCGTCATGTCATTAGCTGGTGAAACCATTTGACAGTCTACTGAGAGCTAGTCATTCTTCTAAGGTTGTAAAAGTTTGAGAATAGAGACAAAAGCATCCGGACAAGTGTCAAATCTATTTTCTAAACACTGAATAAACACTGAAAAACATATTAAAACCAGCAGTTTTGCCGGGATGCACCATGCTGTACTCGCCTCTGCCTTTCGATTTCCCACAGTTCCCTTTTGTGGTCCCATTGCCGCTTCCGCTGTCTTAGCGCAATGAGTTTCTCGAACGATACGACGTCTCTTCGCCCGTCTCTGCTGCGAGATCTCCTCCTGCTCTCTGATCTCTTTTTTCCCCACAAAAAGGAAAATAACTTGGAATTTTACAACGACCACGCAGCAACAAATTACATTTGTATAGCGCCTTTCATGTCAGGATGTCCCAAGGTGCTGGACAGTCACCTGATGGTTGGGTAGAGAGTGGGGAAGGGTAGGAGGGTGAACGAAGCCACCGTACGAAAGCCCAGTTAAACTGGACATTTTAGGGGCTTTTGTGGGATTTTGTGCTTTTGAAGCGCTCCGAGACGATGGGCACTATATATAAATGCTGTGCCAATTGTGCCAATTATTCAACATCTGCAGCAGCAACTATGTCAAATTAGATCACAGAACATACACAAGTTATAGGCAATTCATAGAATGGTATACGATTCATAAAATGACAATGCATCAATATTTCGTAGCAAAAAACAAGTCATTTGAACCATTAATATTGCATTAGTGTTTTTTTCCCCACAAGCCACTAATTTAAACTCACTCTACTGCTCACTCCCACATAGTCTTTCTCAAGCATCTATTAAATTCCTTTTAAAATAATGTATGACTCTGCCTCAACAATCGTTTGTGGCAGAGAGTGCCACACTCCAAGCACTCACTGTTTCTCCAAGAAATGTTTCTAACTTCTCCTTTAATATGAATATGTATCACTTGCAAATTCAGCTGTAATAACTACTGGGGTTACGAAAGGTATTGTTCTGATTGGGAACTTACTCTCACCCTATCTCTACTTCTCCTCCTATCTGAATCTCGACTTCCTAGAAAGAAACAGAAAATAATGGACACAGGTCAGTAACTGCTGATATTACTCAATGTGTTCCACAATGTATTATTCAATTAAATGTGACCTGCTGCTTCAAATTGTGACCTGCAATATCAGCTCCCAGATCCCTGCAATGCTTCACACATTCTATTCACAAACCAAAGTGAAGTAAATCAGAAGTTAGTCTTCAAAACTGCATCTAGAATACTAGCATCCTTCGAGTCCTGCAGTAATCTCCAAATATAATTGGGTCTCATTTTAAGGCCCCTTTTCGGTATAAGCTCATGTTCACTCGAAACTTAAAACTTGATGGACACTATCCAAATCCAGCTCACTTAAGATCTTTTCTCTGACAGCCTTGACACAGAAGACTTTCATCTCAACAGACTCAGCTGAATTGAAACCCCAGTCCCAGAGGGCAACGTGCCAAACCACTTCACTGAGCCATCTATTCCCATACTCACTTCTTCTAGATTCCCTTGAATGTGAAGATCTATGTCGATGTCCATACTTTCCCCTCTTTCTATCTCTTTTATCATCCGTCTTCCTGGAATCTTCTTGGCCATCTTTCCTATCATCCCCCTTTCTGCTAGCAGATGATCTGAATTAGTATTAAATACATTTGAAAGAGAAGTATTAAAATTGGGATAGTTCAAGTTTCTGCTAACAAGATAAAAAGATCACAAGATCTGATGAACTGTTAGTCCTTTTATTGTCCTGTTACTCCTTGCCTAGTGTACCTTGAGAATAAACCAAATTAGTAACCATTAAGAGCTTTATTGCAGCACTTCCAACCAAACCAAAACAGGCCACATTATGCCTACATCATCACTTACTTCTCTCGAGAATGTCGTCTATCATTTCCTGTTTTACGAGTGAAAGTTGATTTGCAGTCCTTCTTCATATCTCCTCCCTTCAGAACTGAATGTTTCTTACTGCCAGATTCATTTGAAGCCTGAAGACACAAACACACTCTGTACCTGTACTGAGCATAGAGCTGTGACCACAATAAATGTAGACACAATCACCCTTTGCCCAAATCAATCAATAATTCATTATTCGAGTTTGCAAGTAGCACCCAGGAGCCCAGGCAGGATACTAGATGTAAATGGGCTATCCATAAACACGCAACGCACTCCCCATAAAATATCTCTGCAATTTGCTGCATGTTTATTTAAAAAACATCCCCAAACTTATTTATCAGTACACATCACTACCCCCTTTGCGATTACCATTTCCACAGTGATGATTTGTCCACTTAGCTCAGAGTGATTTAAGAAACTGATGCATTCTGCTGCCTCTTTGAGTGTTGACATAGTTATAAACCCGTAGCATCGGGCACCAGGATTATGGGCATCAGTTACCACTTTGGCACACACCACCTAAACAAAGGAATCGATTACCAGTCATACATAGAAATCAGCAGCATATTGTCACCTATTTTTACATTGCTCACATACAAGTTGTTTTGCTGATAGAGTGTATATTGGTCTCTCCCTCTTCAACTTCTCTAACCTCCTCTCCTAAAACTTCACATGGACCAATTACTTTCTGACGCATCACCCAAAATGGCCATTCTTCATATTATTATTATAGTCATCAGTTTCAGTGACAACGACAGATGCGTGGGGGAAAGAGACATCACCGTTTAGTGCAATTAGGCTTATGTCGCCACCACCAAATCATTTTGTACAGCGTAAATAAGTACAGAAATCAATTACCAGTCATACACATAAATCAGCAGGATATTTTTACACAATTTTACATAGCTCACATAGAAGCTGTTTTGCTGGCAGAGTGTATATTGGCCCCTCCCTCTTCAACTTTTCTAACCTCCTCTCCTAAATTCCTTCCAATGAGCCCTGAAGCTCTTTGTATATTATTTCCTTCCATGCCAATGCAGCTCCATTCATAACTAGCATAATTATAGCCTCCTATAATCAAGCCAATTCGTATAGCTATTCCCAGTACTACTGTTGACCTGTAATCAGCAATTCTTCCCTCTGGTAATCTCTACATCTCAAAATGCTCTCTCCAGGCACGATCCAAGCTTGGAAGAATAGAATCAACAAATATACTGGTAGCTGTTTTTCGAAGTGCACACTCACCACTACATTTAATAATAATCCTTGCATTTGATATAGCGCTTTTCACGTCGGAGGACGTCCCAAAGCGCTTCACAGAACACACTGTAAAGTGAATTGACTGTATATTTGTGGGCGAACGCGGCAGCCAATTGCGCACAGCAATGTCCCACAAACAGTCGTAGATTGAAAATGACCAATTTATTATTGTTTTTGGTTTTGGAGGGATTATTATTTCACTGAAATACTTGCGACAATATTGTTAGTGCTAGTGACAGTATTAGGCATGGTTTTATGTCTTCAAGTATGCATAGGTAGAAAGAACATGCTCTGACATGGTTGACGATACTTAGATAAAGGCAAATGTGCAGTAGTCAAGTGTATTTCACTGTATTGCTTCTTTCCTTAAATCTACGTATTGCTATCATCAGTGAATTAACCCTACAGAGCATTCAGGGCGTTCAATGGCTTGAAGCAGTACTTTGGATTTGCCAATGCACTATCAACCGTGGAAATAAATGCAGGTCGACTTTAAATACATTTAAAAAGCAAAATGCATCACAAACCACTCCAACAACAACAAGTTGCATTTATATAAAGCCCTTCTCTCAGGGTCTCGTCTCGGAGCACTTGAGGAGGACTCCACTCGCCGTTTACATCTCATTTGCTCACTCAGTTGATCATTAACTGCAATAGCAGAGGAACTGAAATGATTATTACCTTGCCATATTCACTAAAGAGGTTCTTCAGGTCAGTAGCTCTGGTTGCTGCAGACAATTCGCTCACCCAAAGGTTCTTGCCAGCATTGCCTGAAGTGCTACTATTGCAGGATTGACCTGAATCATAGGGAATTGACATTAATGATGAAACGATTCATTTAAGTGTGCGCATTCATGCCAGAACCTCACACGTGTTTCACTGACAAGTATATCCATGAAATTAGATGATTACAGATGTACTGTGTTTTCTAGAACCTACCTTTCTCTTCCGCCCCATTCTTAGCACCTTTTTCATCTTCAGTGGAGCTGAATACACAAAACTATTTGTTAGACATTGAGAAATTTACATAAATGGCTTTGAGATATTTCAGTACTTCTAATGCAAGCTCCACAAATAGTTTTCAAAATCATACATTAAAAATAGGTATTGCCAAAAACTCTTTCGGTCGAAAGCAAACTTCAATACCTACCAAACTAGCTCTCACCACTACTAGTGTAATAAAATGAAACAAATTGGATAGAGGGTTAATTATCAATGGCATTTCAGAAGCCAGATTCGTAAACCACTGGCAAATAAATTGCCCCAATTGTATTTCTGGTACTGTCAAACGAGTGCATCTAACAGCAAAGTATTACAAAGTATTATCCTGTAGAGTGGAGAAGGTGCAGCAACTACTCACAGAATAGGGAATAAAGAGCTTTTCAACAAGGTTACCACCATTGCACAGACGATTCATGGCACACGTTTACTGGAATCATCTCGGTATTCATTTAAAAAAAGAAACCTTCTGGTCTAAAACTAATAAACAAACCTCTTATTCTGATCACCTCCCTCTACAAATGTGGGCTCTTTCTTAGCTGCTTCTTTAGGAACACCCTCATCTTCCAAGTTTATTGTTTCGTCCGGGCTTTCTTCAGTTCCAAGGTGCACTCTCTCTGTACTCTGACAGCCTGCCCCTTCCACTTCTTGATCCTGTTGACTACTTTCCACCTCACTAAGGTTTTCGGATGCAGCCGTTTCATCTTCCATCTTCTCGTTCCTCACCTTTGCCTTAACAAACAGGCTGGTGTCTTCTCCCATCTTCGGTCCATCTAGATGTACATCACAGTCCACGTCCATCGTAAGCATGTCCTCTACACAACTCCCGACCTTGGCAGTCTCCTCTTCTTTTTGACAGGCATCCATATCTATCATATATTGCATCAATAGTTGTAGCTTCTCAGGCGGCTCCTCCTCTGTAGGGACGGAACTACAAGCTTTCCCTGAACTCCCAGCTACATTCTCTTTTTCTATGGGATTAATAGAGTAGTACAAGGTTTAATTACAGACGGAGCAAATATATCCCAGAAGTTAGTATTCCTGCCATGTTAAAACAATCTTGGAAAACTAAAGGAGCATAGATAGCTGAGGTAGTACAGAAGGAGCTATCACAGAAAATATATAGTTTCCTTTCTACCTGATGAGTACAGTCACTAAGCAACACTGACTCCGGTGCTAAAAGTAGCTCTTCACTGATCTTCCAACTACTGTAAACCCCAAAATGGAGCGTGAATTCAGTTTCAAGAGGTTCAACATTCAAATTCTTTAGCGAATGCTGACGTATTTACATCAAGATTTGGATTGTGACACGCATTTACACACCGAGGCCCACACCCTCGCCCAATCAACTTTCTAATTTCAAATTGGGGCTGAAAATTAGCAACCCACACCCATCAACTTTATTACTTTTGATGACTCCTGAAGCACTCTATTGAAACCATTTTGAAGCCATTGAAAAAAAATTGAAACTTTCCCCTTTGTAAGTTAGATCACCGAGATAAATAAATTGTACCCCTATTTCATGAATGTTTTAATATGAAATACTATGACAGGCTAACATAGCTAATTCACTGTGCTGCATTTAAAGGCTGGGATGGAAAGCATGAAAGTGCTACTGATGCACAGTTAGAGTTTCACAGCTGTCTCAGATTGTCCTCATTCATTCAATGTGAAGCATATTGATGCAGCACATTCATCAGATTCTAAACCTCGGCAACAACTTGCATTTATATAGCGCTCTTCAAGTCGAACGGCGTCTCAGAGCATTTAAGTACACCTCACACAAAGCACTATTGTATGCACTATCAATCCAGATTTTTTTCCATTTCTAATATGTACAACTTGCAGTGACTCCTCTTTCCTTTCAGTGAACTACCCTGCCAGCATTCATTTCTTAGGCTCATGGGCTCATGAGTGAAAATGCCATTCAGGCAAGGTACCAGAGGATGTCCTGTGTAATGAAACCAACTCCAGCATTGATAAGATGGGGCTTAAAACTGAAATGGGAGGGGAATGGAAGGAAATCATATGGTTCCATAGGTTTTATGTAGATTTTATCTCACTGTATTTTTTCCTCTAAACTCATATACTTCAACATAATAATTGACTTTGCTACAAGTGGTACAAGAGTACCATTTTCAACTTGCATTTCTGCACAAAAGAGGCAAAGGGTTGAAAATAAAAACTACTTAAAAGCATAAATAGGATTGAGAGTATTAGAAGTACTCAATGGTACACTATCACGCACTTATATACTCTCGACCCTATTTGTGCTTTCGCAATTTAGCCAATTTCGAATATGCTCAGTTTTTTATGCTTTCTTCAGCTGTTTATTCCGATTAAATCGCGCTACTAAATACTGTTAAAACTTGAGAGTGAGCAAGTTTGGGACACAAGCTTCCAAGGTTATCTTCAACAGTACCTGTATCTGCTAGTGTAACTCTAGGTTCCTAAAGGGGGGAGAAAATAAAAAGCATTTGAAACCATAGCACAGTAAGTCTCATATATTAAGTATTGTGTATTATTTACAGCTTGACACAAACCATGGCATGAAACTGTGTAAAAGACTCGAAACGTAGGTGGAGGGTAGGCAGAGCAAATGAACTGTAGGTATTTAATTGCTTGCCTGAATGATCAAGATTCACTGTACAAATCAATACTTTGGTATGCATAGCAAAAGGGTTTTAAAATGCAAATTCAAGGGGCTACCACGGTTATGAATCTGCCTTTTTTGATCCGAACGGGTTTTTAAAAAACAGTAATGATAACACTAATTATCAATTGACTTGGGAAAAATGCGTTACAAAATTCAAACCAAGAATATGTTTGAGGTTAGACTTACTCTCAGCTAATTCAAATCATTTTAACACCACTGACAGTTCAGAGCTACATACAAAGCAATTCTCCCTCCCCCATAGCTCTTTGACTGTTAATTATTAAAGCTTTCATAATTTATCAGTTATAGTGGCATGTGAAAATGATGCAGTAACATGCTCTGTGATCTTTTCCTTGCCACACTTAACCACTGCACTCCTAGCATCTCCTCTTTGTCTGAAGTGTGTACACATACTACTTTAGTATCCTGTACCTGATCAGCAGTAGCTTCAATATCCTCCTATAATGAAGAAGAAAAAAAGGATTACACCAAGCCAAGTACCCATCATACTTACTACACAATGGAACAGTACATTCAGATCCTAAACTCCTGCACTGGATCGATGGATATCGATTTAAGTTAAAAATATTCCTCTCATGCTCCCAATTTCTGACAAGGGAGGATAAAAATAGGTAACCATACAGCACATGTCCAGTCTAACTTTGATGTCACAGAAATGGACATGCCCACACCTCCAAGTCTGCCTGCGTTACTGCAGACCTGTCTGGTTGTCAAACAGTCAAACAATTTTATCAGTCAATTATACTTATTGTGAGCAGAAACCAATGGCAACTACAAAATCTGTGGAGGGGCCACAGCAAAAACATATCTTCAGGAATCAAATAGTGGAGGAACAGAGCCCTTGCCTGATGACTGTGGCTAAACATACCATTGAAGAATTATTCTAGAAGTTAGTCTTGTGCAAGAATCTACCTGCCCATCTCCAATATCCTCTTCAGTACCACTGTCCTCAATCTTGTATCCTAAAGAATAAAAGGAGAAATGTAAATGACATTCCATTTAACCCATATTTGTAGAAAGTACTGAACTGTCCTTTCACATCTGGAGTGTGGATTCAAATCAGTGAGAAAAAGAAACTCAACCAAGCGAGAGATGCTGAATGCTTTGTATTGATAGTATAGTATATTCTTTGTTGCTGGATGGATGGATCCTATCCAAAAAGTCTGCGATTGTGGCTTTGAGAAGAGAATACATACTATAAAACTGTACACTAACTGACTATCTTATTTATTGTGAAATCAAAAGGATGGTTTGTGTGGGAAATCGAATTGCCACACTGGTAAACGTGGATGGAATATGATTCGGAGACAGAGTCTGATCCAAACTGTACCTCAACAAGTGGTATTTAACAATCTTCATTTTCCCAACAACGACACCACGGTAAACGCACCCAAAAACAATAACAGAAAATCTGTTTCCATAAAAATATTTTTCTACCTCTTCCCATCCTCTGTGATGTCCTATTCTTTGGCGTTTCTGAAGTTTCACCAGAATTTCCTCCTTCCTCTTTTACTGCCTGGAGAGAGGAAGTTCAAAGTTATTACACAACTACTGTACTGACAGTTCCATCCCATTGCCCCTGTTCCATTCCAGCCCCTGGTCCACCCTTAGTCCACAAAGGATACAGTCACTACACTCGACAGCAAGCCCCGCGGAGAGCTTTGGAATGTCTTGACGATGAGATAACGCACTATATCGATCGCCAGGATTATTATTATTATTATTATTACATACACTGTACATTACAGTCCTGCTCCTCACCTTGGACAGCCTCTCCATCAGCACACTCTTGTTGCCACTGGCATCCAGGTTTCTCTTTCTAAGCTGGGCTTTCAGGTCCACCACCCTGAGCTCGTGAACCTGCGCAGGGAAGGTCCACAGGAAGGTGGTGGGCCATCCATCTCTCTCCTCTACCTCTCTCTTTCTATCTATCTATCTATCCACCCCCCTCTCTCTCTCCCTCCCTCCCTCTCGCACTGAAGCCCCAGCAAGATGGCGGCGTCGCCTCCCCCCCCCCCCACCCCACCCACGAGGAGGGGGGGGGGGGGGGAGAGAACCCTCTGCCCACCTGACACTGTGCAGACAGACGTGTGTGGGATGGAACCGTTGGCGAGTGAGTAAACAGTGCGAGGACTGTCTGCAACTCCTCCAGCAAACCTTGCACCACGACGAGCTTCAAACCCACAGTGTTGTGCTACAGTGTGTGTTTTTATATCCACACACACACATATATATATATATATATATATAATATATCAGTTACTGGCTCAGTATCACTCACTCACTGCAGCACTACTTATCCTGTTCTGTTGCACCAACAACACTGAAGCTGCACCAACTCCCTTGCCTTGCTGTTATAATAACAGAAGCCACCTCAAAAGGGGGGGGGTGGTCCATTTGAGAATAGAAAAGAGCTATTTTACCCCGTCAACTGACGAACAGAAATAGAACGCAAACCACCCAGGCCGGGATATATAGACATGTATATATATGTATATGTATATAAAAATAAATAAATGATCATTACCACATATTCCACTGAGCAGCAAATGCAAGTGCTCTTCATTGTGGGTTAAATATTCCACTTTTCTAATGCCTAAAAAAAAAGGTGGAACAAGTTGGACGTGAAAGTCTATTGTTTGTTGTCATGATGTCACAGTAGTTTGATGATGTTTAAGGTAAAATTTCAGTTAGTGTTGATCTCGATGTCACATATTGGTCCTCCTGACATGAAAGGCACTGCACAAATGTCATCTTGTTGTTGTTGTTGTTGTTGAAGTTGTATTGGTTACAAGGCACAATCTACGTGTTTGGTGATGCTAGTATTCTAGTATTGTTTAGGATCACTGTTGTTTAATAATTATATCGACCCATTCGACGGTTATATTTTCTAGTGCTGCGTTTCTATTACAAATTTGTGCCCACGAGTAAGCCAATTAATAATATAATAATAATAATAATCCTTGCATTTGATATAGCGCTTTTCACGTCGGGAGGACGTCCCAAAGCGCTTCACAGAACACACTGTAAAGTGAATTGACTGTATATTTGTGGGCGAACGCGGCAGCCAATTGCGCACAGCAATGTCCCACAAACAGTCATAGATTAAAGATGACCAATTTATTATTGTTTTGTTTTGGAGGGATTATTATTAGGCTCTGTGTGGAGTAAGGAAACTTGCCCAAGGTTTCGCCCTCTGCCTGGAATTGAACTCAGGTCTCTCACTTGCAAAGCGAGTGCTCTAACCACTGAGCTACAGGACTCCACAATTCTCTGGATACAGCTTGTAATGAAAACCGGCTTGTTTTTCTGGCGCCAGATTTGGGAGAAAACCCTATCCAACTAATTTCGACTCGATCCAAACATTCACGTTGCCCCTTGCATATTTGAGATCCGACTTTCTGATGTGAAGGATTGGCGCTGAAGCAATTGCAATCTTAAGTTCCATATTGGTAACCCCTAAGCTGTTTATCAGTGCACCCAGCCTGCTCTTTGCCCGAAACATTCAACACCTCCAGCATTACTGACTCCAATTTATCTCCCGGGTATATTTCTGGAATAGATACTACGGTGGCTAATTATCGGGGTGTGTGTGGGGGGGGAGGGGGGGAAAGAACATGCATTTACAATTTGCAAAACCTCCGGAATGCTCATCTGCATCTCCTTTCGAGCCTTTCCTCCGCTGATAACCAGTCCCCCTTTCGCTTAAGTCGCATTTACTGGAGCGAGACGAGCAAAGTGCAACAGACAAGACGGCCTCTGGTCACGTAAAAAAGGGGGGGGGGGGGGAAAAAAATCCCTGAATCGTCTCTCCTGCTTTCCTCCTGAACTCTGAAACGCCGTACACCGTCCGGCGCCTCGGGACGTCCTCCCGACGTGAAAGGCGCGATACACAAACGTAATCTTGTTGTTGCTGCTGTTGTCGTTGTTGTCGAACTCGTGCCTCACAGTCGGTCTTCGCCGCGGCTTTTACTCCCGACGACGACGACAGCAATAATTTGGTCAACTTCAATCCGCGGCTGCGCGCGGGCGCCGGGCGCCGGGGGGGGGGGGGGACGACGACGGCGACAGTGCGCAGTCGGCCACCGCGTTCCGCCCACACGCAAAATGGAGCCCAGTCACTTTACTTCGCTGTGCGTCCCGCGGAGCGCTTTTGAGGCGTCTCGGAAGAGGTGAGGAGAGAGAGAGACCAGACGCGAGGACACACGGTGATTATTACCGTTTATCGGCACTCACCGGGCTCTGCCGCGCCTTGCTCACACTCTGGCACACCCGTATGTCAGTGCACCCCATGTATGTAAAGGCCTGCGGCCTGGATTTCGGCCCTGTTTGCGGCCTGGATTTCCAGGCCCTGAGTGTCAGCACAAGGCTCAGGTTTACGCGGGCTTTTTTTTTTCTCTTTCCCCCCCCCCCCGCGCCCCCCTCTCTCTCTATCGCATGCGCAGTAGTCAGCGTCTGGGCGGCCGCTCCTGCGCGCGCGTAACGGTTTCCTCCCCTCCCGCCCGCCGCCCGCCGCCGCACATGCGCAGTATGCGTCGGTCGTCCCGCCGCGCTTGGCTGCTGCGCAGGCGCAGTCGCCCAGCGGCATCCTTACACCCCCCACCCGAGGCAACCGGCGCCATTTTGTTGGCCTTTTTTTTTCCGTTGCGTTGCGTTTCGGTCTCCCGAGTCTAACGGATTCCCCCCCCCCCCCCACCACCGCCAGCGGAGAACAGGATGACAGCCGAGAGTCCGGCCGCGGCCCCGATCGCGGAAGAGCTGCGCAGGATCACCGAGCTCCGGGTGGTGGACCTGAAAGCGCAGCTGAGGAAGAGGAACCTCGACACCGGCGGCAACAAGAGCGTGTTGGTGGAGCGGCTCCGCAAGGTGAGGGCAAGAGGAGGGAGAGGAGAGGAGAGGCCAGGCCAGGAGAGGAGAGAAGAGGGAGCACCACCACCCCCCCCCCCACCCCATCCCCCCGCCCGAGTCCCACACCGGAGCCGCTTCCAGGGAACCCGACCCCGGAGCGTTTTGGTGGCAGAAAAGTACTAATAACATAAGCCATGAAGCGTATCCCATCCCTTCCTCCTCCTCCTTCTTTCCTTCCCTCCCTCCCTCCCTCTGTGCCCCTGCAGACCCTTTGGCCTTTTGCCTGTGAATGCGGCCTGGCCTGTGCCTCTGCCAGCTCTTCTCTTGTGATTTCAGGCTTCCAAGGGGGGAACTCGTGTGCATTATTATTAATTATTATTATTATCATCATCATCATCATCACCACCGTCTCTAAACGCCGCCGACTTCATTTCAGTCTAATTCAGGAATTCCTTTGTGGAACACAAATGTTCCCAATTTAACTTTAAAATGGGAACTGCGGCCTCCACCTTCTCCCGCGCTGAAGCTTCTCTTTCTCTCTCTCTCTCTCCTCTCCTCACCTCACACATCCCCTCCCGTTCCTGTTTATTTTGCTTGTTTCTCGTATTCCCTTCTTATTTGTTTTGCTCGTCTGCTGTCAACTCCACCGGTGTGGAGTGTCTCGCCGCTTGGACCAGCCGGATAGATAAAAATCAGTCAGGTTTTCGGTGCAGCGAAGTTCCTTTTTATATATTATATATGTTATATACATTACACTATATACACAAATGCATCAAATCCAGAGCGATGCAAACAAAGCGTGCGGTTGCGCTAACTTTTCTCGTGCTCTTTTTGTGCTTCAAAGCTGCACCGCGCACCACGTTTTAGATCCCAAGGAAAGCAAATTGCTGATCAACCCGTTCGTTCTCTTTTGCTGTGTTCGATGGGGTAGTTGGAGCGCCATGTGGTCTCTCTGAACAGCCGGGCAGCACAGACTTCATCTCAGTCTAATTCAGGGGCTCTTATTCTTTGAAGAAGCAGATGTTCCTGACTAGCTTTAACATGAAAACATGCTAAAATGACACAGCGATTCACCGTAGGAATTAATTTCTTTTTAGCATGCAATACGCAATAACGATACGTGAGATGCGGTTTTGATTTGCGAAGTTGTGCCTCTTATATGTTTGTTACGTTGTTTTTAAAAGATGCTCGACTGAAAAGGTACACCGATTATTAAATCTGAGCCACACAGAATGGGAATACTCAGGCTTAATCCCTGAACTGCTGAGGTTTTATTTTTCTGGGGGAGCATTGAAGGGCGCAGCAATGCAACTCAGCACCCCTGACCAAGTGAAAAGGAAGATCAATGAAAGTTTTTGGCCACTACCCAATGAAATCTGATAGAAATCTTAAATTTGTATTGGGTGTGGACAGGATTGGGTTTTATAATCTGCCAAATTCACTGTGTAGACTTGCACTTGAAGGATGACCACTTGGAAGGAAACATACACTGTAATAGTATGTTAGTCATTGGGTTAAAAATTAGTTAAAACTGCCCAATACATCTCTAATCCAGCAGGCATGATGTACCTGAACATGCCCATGTGGGGCTTGTATATGATAACTAAGCAAAGCAAGCACAAAACTGTACAGTTTTGGTATCAACTTGAAAATTCTCGGACAGGGTAGCAGAAGTTTAAAAATGTTTGAATTGAAAATTAAAGTAATAGATGGACACAATAGATTAAAACAACCTTCAGGATAAAATGGGCTAATTCATTTATGTTGACCATAAAGTTCAAGTGGTGCAATAAATGTTGGCAGTCAGATTTGGTTGAATTGAAATACTTTGAATCTAAACCAGCAGCCAATTTGTATACAGCAAATGTGACATGAATAGCCATGAAATAAATGACTAATTTAATCTGAGCAAACTGGGAGAATTTCCCTGAACTAACTAAATTATTACAAAGTTTTACAACAATATTTTTTCAATGTTTCCTTTACTGTATTTTTACCAGGCTGTGGCTGTTTTCAGTCTGAAAATACAATCAGACTTGGAATCGCAATGAAAACTTTTTTCTGCATAAAGTACTGAATTGAAGAATATTCCAGTATTAATACCAAATTATGATTCTGAGCAGGAAGATGGCCAGGTACACATTGTTACATCTGAGCAATAGAAAACTAGAATTCACATCTTAAGTGCATGATTTTGAGAAAAAAAAGTTCCTTGCACCCATGAATTAAGAAATACATAACGTTTGTAATTTCTCATTACTGAACTACTAATTATAAATCTCTCTAAAATTGGTTAAAAATATAGGGGAATTTTACTATAAATTCTTGTTGTGTCTTCAGGCAATAGAAGAAGAAGGAGGGAATCCTGATGAAATTCTAGTGGCATCAGAGACTCCAGGGCGGAAAACTCCAAAACGAATAGGAAAAGGTGAAGTATTTTTCCAGAGTCGTGCTGAAGATTTTAATTTTTTTTGGTATTCAGATCTTTGACATTTGTATGTTTTCTGATTAGGGCGCAAAGCAGAGGATGATGGAACAGATGATGGTCTGGAAGAGGATTCAGGAGATGGACAGGTTGGTGGTAGTATGAGATTTATGCCTACACTGTTTTTGGAATCCCTTACTCGAACATGTTTGCATCTTTGGACTACACAGTGCAGTGCATACTGTGATGCTTGGTGTTTCACATTTTACAACTACGTAAACATCTGGTGCAAATTGCTTCAAATGGTGCCATTCTGTATTATTCTTATCTTACTCTCTTATCAGATCACTTTTATGTTATTACTCCAATGTAGTTTGTTATACAATATACTGTGCCTTACCTGTTTTTACCTGTTTGTAAGATTTAACATTTATAATTTCAGTGTCAGCTGGCTCACTCCAAATTCTTTTTGCCAATCCTCTGCTTTTCCTTCACTTATTTGACATGTTCCCACTTAAGTTGGATAATGAAGTCATTTATGTAGATTAGAATCCAGGGTCCAAGCTCTAAATCTTGTACAACTACGCTCAGTGCTCCTCTCCTCCGATCTCCCTCTTTTCCCCCTGACTGACCCCTCACCACCCACACACAAGACTCTCATATCATTTAGTTGAATTAAGACTTTTCATGAACAACTTTGTCAAAAGTATATGATGTGTAAGTGATTTGAGTGCTACTTCAGCTGTGCTGGGGAAGTGCTGCATTGTTGTAAGGACTGGCTTTTTGATGAGATATTGAAATGTGGTCATCTGATATTCAGGCACATCTGTGTTTGCTACTGTTGTTTTGGTATCTTATCAATTGGGGTGGGGGAAAGCTTCTAAAGGCTCTCGTGTACTTTGCTGCATTGGCTGCCGCGTTTCACCCACAAAATATACAGTCAGTTAACTACACCGTATATTTTGTGAAGCGCTTTGAGACATCTCGAAGAAGTGATGCTAGCATGCACCAAATGGAAAGAGTGGAAAACCCCCAGGGTTCCAAAAGTAAAAGCTATGCGCATCACTTAATTGTCAGCAAATCCGTTGGTTTCTCAGGTGTTCTTCTATAAAGGCAGCATTACTGGACCATCTTGACACTTTCTTTGTTTTTGTTTATTTCTTAACCTGTTACAAGCAGCTGGCAATCTTTTGACAAATATTCCATGTCTCCTTTTTGGCAACCTCTTCCTCATGTTCTTTTTGGGCTTGCTGTTCTCTATCCCGCTAAGGGACTCGTTTCCCCAAATTTCAGGTCTGAAGCACAGCTTGGCCAGTGACATCTTTCTCTTTGTTAATTGATCTTTGTTAATTGTTTCTGACAGTGGAATCCAGAACAAGGGGGCATAATATTAACATTAGAGCTAGGCCATTTAGGAGTGAAATTAGGAGGACGTTTTTCACCCGAAGGGGAGTGGAAATCTGGAACTCTCTCCCCAAAAGGCTGTGGATACCGCATCTGTTCACATTTTCAAGATGGGAGATAGATAGATATTTGTTAAGTCATGGAATTAAGGGATATGGGGCGAGGGCAGGTATGGATTTGAGGTACAGATCAGCCATAATCTTATAAAATGGTGGAACAGGCTTGAGGGGCTGATTAACCTACTCCTGTTTCTATGATTACCAGCATTTGCAGTTATTCCTTTTATTGCTATTGCAAAGGAACGCTCATTTCCCTGGCCTGCTGGAACTGCGCAATACTGTCTCGAGTATCTTCATCAAAAGACAATAGATGGATTATAGGAGGGGGAAAAAGCATTAGTTAAATCTACTCAAACTGAATTTGTCTCCTTTGATGCAGCCAACACCCTGCTTCACTACCGTAATCCTTTCAGTGAAGCTCCTTTTTGTTGTATTGTCCAAATGACTGATAGTCTTAACCTGTGTACTGGTGTAGCACAGGATGTGGCCTTTCAGCTGATGCTTCTTATCCAAAGAAATAAAAAGTGGCTTAGAATCAGGCTGCCTGTGAATTGTCACTCTCACTCTGGCTTGTCACAGCACTACAGTTCAGAACTGTTTATTGGTCAGGTTCAGTGGCGAGTATTCCTTACAGAAATCTGGTTGTACAAGTACAGTTATCAGAAAATTAATCTATTTATAATCTTTTTGCACCGTCTATCCAAAGTTTATTGGGAACGTGTAGGAAATGCCTGTCGATACTCAATTTGGATCCTGGTACAACATGTGCAGCATTTCATCAATTAATAACATACATGAGTTGTTAGCAGTTTTGAAATAGACCTGATGTTTGTTTTAGCTTATTTTCACTTTGTAATACTGGGAGTAATACTAATATAAATAAAATGCTTGTTCTGAAGATCTACACATGACTGTCTAGCTCACCTGAATAGATTCCCACAAGGACTTGACTTGCTCCCTGTAAAAGTAGAAATAGTTTAATACATAACTGCAAAACAATGAAGTGAGAAATTGCTGGTAATTGTATGCTCAGTAGGAAAAGAAAATGAACCTGGCCATTGGCCTGCATTTATGGATTACCAAAACCTTAATGAAATTTATTAGATTACTTTCTTTCCGAAGTGAAATCAAATTACCTGTATGTGCACATACATATGTGCACACACACTCTCTCATTCACACAATGTTGTTTCGGGGAACCTTGGAACGAATAGGCTTAATTCCCCATTGTGCATTGGATAGCTTTCTAATTAAGAGTTTGTTAGAATTTAAACAGAACTCTACAAGTTGTAACTTACAGGTTGATTGCTATTCTGGAAGTTAATTGATCTTCCTGTAGCTACGGTGTGGGCTGTTTTGGATGGATCTTTTGTGCCAAAGGAAGCAGATCTTGGAACTCTATACAATGAGTGCTTCCTGACATAAGATTCACAGCCTAAGGTAATGTGCATATTTCTTACTGCAGGAGGATATTGAAGCCAGTGTTGACCAGTTGCAGGATATTTCAGCGCTGGATGTGAACTTTGCGAACGAAACGGACCTTGAGGGTGCGGTGGCAGAGTGTACTGATGAAAATGAGATTGAACAAATTACAGCATCTCTAACCAAGAATATTGAACGCATAGCACTACCTGTAGAGTTGCCTTTGGAGATGGGCACAGAAGAACGTATGGAGTCAGCTCTGATAGCCACAGATCTTCCAAATGAAGTACGAAGGGTTTAATTAAACTCAGTCACTCCATTGGGTCGGGGGGATGAGTGTATTCAGCTAGTATTCAAGAGGTTGGTTAGAATTACTGTAGCCTTGATGGGAGACGAGATTTGGCTAAGAAACTTGAAAGAAACTGAAGGCAGCATAATAGTTTACAAAACCTCTGGAACCTAATAATGTCCAGACGATGACCTAAAGTCTCTTTGTTGGTAGTAATAGCCTTAATTTGAATGAAGTGTTGCATTTTACACCCAGTTACTACTGTTTGGGTCCACAGCACAAATCCTACGAATTGGCCACAAGAATGGGTGATGTAAAAACGGGAAGACGTCCGCTGGACCTTTTGTGATTGGGGTTAAGGTGCAGTTGAGGGAGCTTTACTCTGCATTTAATCAATGCTATATTGAACTGGGAATGCTGTAAACTTTGACACTCAATACCAAATGTAGAAGTATTTAATTCCAGTTCTCTCAACTAGATGAGCTGAAAAGAAGTTAGAAATTGTTTCTGTGTGCTTTTTTAGAGCAAGGCAGTGCTTGTATGTTAAATCCCTATTGGTGTTGTGATGTGGTTATACTGTGTTATAAATTGATGGCTGGGAGCGAGTTACAAGACAGCAGTGTATCAAAGGGTTTATGGAATATGGTAAACTGAGTGATTCGAAAGTGGTTTATTGGCTGCGTGAACCTAGAGCAGTTACTGGAATAATAATGAGAGCTCCTAGTGTACTATGTATTTTCAAGTGCCATTCACCAGACCATGCCTTGCATAACAATCCTATTTTAGTAGGCATGTTAGTAATTTACTTTAACCTCCAAATTACATGTGTACAAGAGTGAAAAAGATCATCAACTGGCACTGTGTTTTTATAAATACAACTGATCTCTCTCTTCTCCCGTCCTTCCCTTCCTCCAACCCTACCTTCCTTCATCACCATTAACCAAACAAATTCCCTCTCTAAATTAGTAAATCTGTGAAAATGGCTTCACGAATTCACCACATTCTGTAAACAGGGAAATAAACTGTTCACCTTCGTCCCAAGTGAACTCCTTAGTGGTGACGTTTTGGTCCCAGGAGGCTATTCAGCCAATCATCACTGTATCAATGGTACCTGTTTTTTAAAGGCAGTCTTTTAATTATACAGTCTTTCCTGTATCCTTTAATGCTGTTACATCTTAGATACTCACTTAGTATCCAACCTCAGTATAGACAACAATTATGGGGTATCAAAAGCACTTTACCTGCATTTGCAGATAATCCCTTTTTAGCTTTAGGAGTATCGTCAGCACATATTACTCGCATTCAAGTTCTGTATTGGGGATTCTCTGCAGGTGAAGGTCCTATTTCTGGTAGTCACTTGATATTGCACCAATAGAGTTTTTAGACCCATTATCAAACATTGGAGTCTAGTTTAGGTGTAGTTTGGGATGGGGGAAGCTTCAGTGAGATTAACCATCTTTGCTTATGTCTCTTCTCGTAACCCACATATCTCTACTCTTAGAATACACACCAGAGCTGCACACAATACTCCAAAGTTTCACAGACTTTATTAAAAACCCATTAATGCGTCCTATTACTGCTGCTCTGTCCCTCTAGCTATTACACCCAACAGTCTTTGCTTTTCTTGCTGCTGCTGTTGAACATATTTATGGGTCCCATGTACTATGTTACTAGTACTTCCAGATCCTTTTCCTGGCTTATGCCTTATAAGTATCTACCCTCCTGCTATATCCCCACTGCACAGTCTCCTAATTTTACATTGATCCATAGTAAAATACATCTGTCATTTTTCATACCAACTATCTAATCTATCCAAATCCCTCTACATTCTGGCTGCTTATTCCCCATTATTAACAACTTTGCTATCAATTTGTTCCAGAATCAGATTGTTAGATAATGTATAAATTGGGAGTTCAGGTGTACAGGAAAAGTCTTGAGAATAGAAGAATTAGTTCTTCTGCTGTTTAAAATGCTTTAAAGTGTGGTATGGGGAAATCAAACTTGTAATGCAGCGAATTACTTTTGAAGGACAGTTAGGTTTGGATGGAGGGGATGGCTGAATGGACTAAATCCTACAACTTCCATCTTTCTGCTGGATTTACAATAAAAATACTACCACCTTTTGCATTTGGTGTTTATGTTTAATTTCAACCTCTGCAGTATATTAATACATAATGTGATTTTTCAGATTGACGAATCACTCAATGAATCGACAGAGGACACTAAGAGGCCTTGTACTACAGAGGAGGAATCCATCATCGTTAAAAAAGTAGGGATGCCGTTTTGAGATTCTCTTCGATTATTTTCGTTTGATCAATGAGAATGCATTTTGTAATAGAGACTGCTGTACTTATTTAGTCAAACTGTTGTCTCTGTCAAAATACAAGTTTAGTTGCTGCAGTTTGCAATGGAAATAAATGAATCTTCTGCTAAGGAATATGGTTTGGCAGGAATTTTGTTTCATTGTTGTTATCCAAGGCATAAACACTGCAAGAATGTGAAAATTAAGATAAAAGCAGCTCAAAATGTTTTTGCGTCAGTTAACACAAATTGTACAGTATGAGATGGAATCAACATTTAAGTATACAATATTTCTTTTGTTTTTTTAGGCAACTGAAGGCGTGTTTGAAGATTCAGGTATTAAGAAAACCTCCTTTCAACCATGTTTCCCAGCACAACTTAATTTTTCTCACACTTTTTTTTTACTTGATCACATTCAAGTATTCTGGTATAGTATATAATAGCAGTGGTTGTTCAGAACAGCACAGGTACAGGGAGACTGGAAAACTGAGGCATATCCCAGATCGACGAGATTAATCCAATCTGCTACAAAGCTTGAATCACACAGCTGACCCCACCCTGACCAATACCTTTGGAACACATTCATTAGCTTTTTCAGACAGAAGAGTTAGTGATGCATTAAACACATGTTTTTGAATTGGGGGGGTGGGAATTTAACATGTAGCATGATGCCTAGTAAAGTGAAGGCTGCATTCCAGCATTGGATTCTAGGGGCTTCTATGGTGTTTGATCCAAGTAACAGAGGTATAAGTAACAAAGTTAAAAGATATACCTTCGATCTTTACATCTGGGACATATTGAACAAGACTTATTTAAATTTTATTTCTAAAAGATATTTGCATGCACTGTCAAAATGATGAATATAAATACAGTTGGTTTCATATAAATTGTGGGCTGGAGGATTCTCTAGACTAATTCGTATTCCATTGGATACTAATATAACTTTGCTCTGGAACTGTTGTCATTCCAGTTAGAATTGTTTTCATAAATTTTTCCAGAGAAAATCTTTTTTGGAATTGAAGTTGTTGGCCTGGGGAATTGGGCTGGGGGTGGTGGGGATTGGTCAGGAAGTCAGTTGTGTCATGTGAGCATTTATATATAAGTTCAGCACATTTTAGTGCTGTTACCATCTTATATACAAGCTAATTGGGTTTTCAAACATTGATCTGGTGATGTGTACGAGGACACCAATGTATTCTGTTCAGACTTCTATGAATCATAAAAATAGTAGCTCAGTTTCTTTACTTAGGAGGAAAATGTTAGACTCCCTAAACTAAACCATTGTCAAAGTGAAAGAAACTGATTAGATTAAGATATTCTCTTCACAAAAGAGCTGAAATCGATACAAATTAGAGTGAATTCAGGAAATGTTACAGGGTAAAGCGAATACAAGAGCAAGAATGTTAAAGACTGCTGAATGGCTTACATACACATCTCCGTTGCATTTTGTTGGACTCTTACTTAACTTGGAAGAAATGAAGCTTATCAGAAGACTTGGGACTATCAAAAGGAAACCTTTATTGAACTTTCATGGATGCAATTTGGACCACGTACTGAATTATTTCTCATCGCCGTGAACTGAAAAATAGTTTCTGAATTCAACCTTCTGGAATTAGTTGGACGTTTCAAGTTTTCAGATGAACAACTCTTCCGCTTCTGAGGAGCTATCAGTTTCCAGCCCTGTGGACTCCTGATCTGTGAGGTTATATTATGGTAAATTAGTGAAGAAATGAGAATGAATTACATTTTTTCAGGTAGAGGTGTTCTCCCCTCAGTTTTCCGATCTTCCTGTGGTTTTAGTGATAGCTAGGGATGGTGTCCTGCGTATTCACACGGCAGGCATGTTAGCTCCGTGTATGTTCTTTCTGTGTCTCAGTGGTAATTAAACCTTGTGCCATTCTATTCCTATTGATCCCGTAGAAAAAGAGAATGTAGCCGAGAGTTCGGGTGGAGCTTGTAGTTCAGTCCCAATCGAGGAAGAGGCCCCTGAAGATGCGCAGCTCTCCTCGCGAGAAGTGAATGATACGGGCACCTACCAAAAAGAAGAGGAAGATGACAACCTCTCGGTCACCGTGCAAGCGGAGGACGCCCTAACACTGGAACTGGACAACGATTTGATTCTGGACGCCCTTAAGAGGGAAACCAAACCATCTGAGAACCAATCCGAGAAACCCGCCAATCAAGCAGCGCCAAGTGGCAATAAGTGTGAGACTGAAGCGAGCGCGGCAGAAACTGTCAGTGAAGTGGAAAGCAGACAACAGAGTCGAGAGTTAGAAGGGGCAGGCTTCGAGGGCGCGGAGAAAGAACCGCAGTCAGGAACTGAGGAAAGCAAAGATGAAACTATGAAAGCAGAAGATGAAGATGATTCTAATGAAGCAGCTAAGAAAGAGCCCTCGATTGTAGAGGGCAGTGATCAGAACAAGAGGTTTGTTGTTTCTCAGTTCTAGACCAGAAGCTTTCTTTTTTCATTCATATTAAGACGATTCCAGTAAACTTGTCTCATGAATTGGCCTGCACAGTGGTGCTAATTTTGACCTTTTTTTGTTTTTGTTTAAAAGCTCTACATAATTTTTTTCCCCCCTCGTACCGTTAGTGGCTGCTTCCTTTTTACTCTTTCTGCTCTCCTTCAACCTGCAGAGGTTGTATACAAACTGGAATATTTTGCTTCTGTGTGTACTCTTCACTGACAGTACCAAAAATATAATTGAGGCAATTTTTGTATAGTTCTGTTTCCAATTGGGATCTAAAATACCATCGAAACTCACCAGTACCTCCAAAATGTTTGAGTTTATTGCTCTCACGGTGATCTATAACTGACAGTAGCAGTATCCATTGGTAGGTATTCGAGATTTTGCTTTAGACTTGATATAAAGTACCTTTATTTCTGAAGTCGCTTTCCCCATGTTTTAACAGATTCAATTTTGTGTCTTTAGCTCTGTCAAGGATGGAAAAGATACTAAAGGTGCGGTGAAGGATGAGAAAGGTAAGCTGTGCAATGTTACTCAATGTTTGGCATTAACAAAGTGCTTCATGGCTTTTCAGTTGTTCTAGTTACGAGTCATAACCAATGATTTTTAAGAACATGATGGTGTAAAGAATGAATGTTTCTCTGCCCTTAGCCTGAGAACTGGACTGCCAAGGTTTTCAGGGAATATTTTTGCAAATGGACACTGCCCTCATAATCAAAATGTCTTATTCCTAAACCTCTGTAGAGCAATTTTAAAACAGGATTTAACATCAGCTGCAGGTTTTAGCAGTCATTGTTTGAAAACTGTATAAAGCAATATGCTTATGGAAGATGTTCTGAATTGGTGGTGATGGTGCGAGGGGGGAGATAATACAATAAACATGTATGCTTAACTTTTTATTGCTTTCCCTTTGAACAGCTACAGTATAGTTATGTACCCTGAATATAGAGCAATTTTTATTAATCCAGTTTGAATTTTCATTTTTAATCCATTAACACTCCACACAGCCCAATCCCTTCCTTTGGTTATTGTGAATCCATAATGAATGTGCTCTTGTTGCTGATGAGAATACCCTGTAATTCAGGTCGACTTGTCGCTGCTTTAGACACTACAGGCAAGAATCTTTGGGTGAGCGGACTGTCCTCTGCCACCAGAGCTACCGACTTGAAGAACCTCTTCAGTAAATATGGCAAGGTGAGATTGAAACTACACTCCTGCCAGGAACTCAGACCAGCTGCGTGTCCTAAGCCATTAATGGGAGTCCTTTCAGCCATTATGCTTCTCTCTGGTTTCTGGAATCCTTTCGAAATCGCGTCCTCCCAGCTCTGTTTTCAAAAAAAACCTTAAAAAAAAGTAACTGTTCGCCTGACCTTTAATCAAGCCTCTCCCACCACTGCATTTCAGGGCGTCCTGTAGCTTAGTGGTTAGGGCACTCGCCTTGCAAGCTCGCTTTCCGACAGGACGAAGCGTTGAACGTATTTCCTTATTCCATACATCTCTGTTTACCGAGCAGTAAGTAGGAACTCAGATGTTAGTCGATTGGTGGATGGATTGCTTTTCCGGGGGTGTAATCCCTTCAGTAATAATAATTTGGTCTCTTGATCTGTTGACTATTTGTGGGACACTGCTGTGCCCAATTGGCCCCCCTGGGGTTTCACCCACAAAACGTAGTCAATTCACTTTACAGTATATTCTGTGAAGCGCTTTGAGACGTCTAGAAGACATGATAAGGAGCTCAATCAAATGCAAGGATTATTGTTATTTCCCCACCTTGCATGGGTTCTCACCCTGCCTCTGTATAAAGTGCTCCACTGGAAACATACCAAAGGGCTTCTGGCCAGACTCAGTATTGAATGCATCTTATGCACCCTCGCCCACAGTATCTTAGGAATGGAGACCGGACCATCAGAAACAACAAGTACTGTTTGTATTCATGTAGTGCCATTCACGTTTCTCCAATGAGGTGGAGGGTAACTATCCTTTCTGCTTTGGCCACTTGATAACACATCTACATTTACATGGCCTTTGACGGTGTTCTCACCTGATGTATGTAGAATGTACTGATGTATTTGCTCTGAGATGTCGCCCGGCATGGAGGGCGCTATATAAATGCAACTTCTTGTTGTATGTGCTGAATGTAGGGATTTCCAGTAAACAAAGCATTTCATTCAGATTAATATTGGTCCCTCTTAATACGGATTGGATCTACAATATTGAACACTATTTTGAAATTGGGGACAGGTCTATAATATATGGAACAGACTGTTTATTGGCTTCCCCACTTCCTCTCCAGCATGAATCAAACGTAGAAGATGAATTACCAGAAGAGTCGTTACAAGTTGGGCATAACATATTCACCAAATATTTCGAAACCTGACCTGGTTCACCTAAGGCAGAGTCAGTTCACAGCAGTGGCTTTTTTCTTGGTTCAACTGATCTTATACTTCATAACAAACCTTACCGTTCGTACAACTATTTAGTAGAAGGAAGACGAGCTGTCAGATGGATACAGTAAAACGTTATCTCATATCAAGAACTTGTACTCTTTCCCCACAGCCCAAATTCCCCCCTGTCTCTGTGCCTCTCATTTAGCCATTTGTTCATTAATTTGGAGGACAAATAAAAGCAGGGACAAAGGTAAAACTGTCTGTAGGATCATTTTTTAACGGGTGACTTCATGCGGTATGTCACTAAACCCTATTTAATATTTTCACTGTAATATTTTTCTGTTGCATGACAATGGATTTATGTTGGATCAATCCCATGATCCTGTCATAGTGTACTCCATGCTAAATCAAAGCACTGCTCCAAACCATTGATCAGCCTGCATGCTCCATAGGCTGGCTTCACTGATGGGAGCAGGACATTGCGTTTCTCTTATTACCTTTCTTGTGAGTGATCATTAAAATTATGTGGCAAAGTTAATGTGTTCACCATTGTTCATTGGTTTGCAGTAAAATAAACACAATGACCTATTGGTAACTCCTCAGTCTCTTGTTGTGTAGTTGTCGTGTTGAGTGATATACCGGGTGCCTATGATAATAATTGATTAAAGCAGTTAGACCAAGCAGCTATAAATCCATAGAGCTTACCTTTGCAAGACTCTTCTGCTACAATCAGAAACGGCCCTGTTGTGCACATGTGAGATCGCACCACAGAACTTTTTTTACTGGCATCACATTCCTGTGTCCACTTGCACGTTAGTACCCAGTGCAGATAGATGGATATTCAGATAATTGGCTTCCTATTTTGCCTGTGAAAAATATTTAAACTTGACATACAAATTGGAATGTCAGCTGCTTCTGGTACTGGTGATTGGTCTTCGTCTGAACATATTCCCTTTCGTTGTTACTTATTCATTTAGGACCCTGCTCTTTCTGTATAGGTTGTTGGTGCCAAAGTGGTGACTAACGCCCGTAGTCCAGGAGCACGCTGCTATGGGTTTGTAACCATGTCGACTAGTGAGGAGGCAACAAAGTGCATCAGTAATCTGCACAGAACAGAGCTACATGGACGAATGATCTCAGTGGAGAAGGTGAGCACCAAACGGTTAAACGTTGTTAGTACTTGGACAGTACGTACAGTGGATAGATTCTTTTCATATCTGACATTAATGGAGTCCTGTAGCACAGTGATAAGAGCATTCGTCTCATGAGCGAGCGACCTGGGTTTGATTCCCAGCAGGGCGAAATGTTGGGCAAGTTTCTTTAGTCCACACGCCTCTGTTTACCTAGCAGTAAGTAGGAACCCAGTTGTTAATCAATTGGCAGATCGCTTTTCCAGGAATAATAATTCCTTCAAAAGAAAGAATAGGAATAAATTGGTCACTTCAATCCACGACTGTTTGTGGGACGGACACTGCTGTGCGCAATTGGCTGCTGCATTTCGCCCCCCAAAAAATACAGTTAATTCACTTTACAGAGTGTTCTGTGAAGTGCTTTGCGACATCTCGATGTGATAAGGCGCTATATCAAATGCAAGGATTATTCTTTATAATGTTCAGTGTATGAAATTGTTTTTTTTTAACCTGGAAATATGGCGAGTAATTGGCAGAGGTTTTCTTCTACGAAGCAAAATAGTAAAACAGCAATATAACATGACTCTGTTTGGTAGGGGGTGTGCTGTGGTTCTAAGGCATTTAGAATGGATGTGTGATATATGTGAAAAGCTCTGTATCAAATGCAAAGATTATTATTATATGATTTATATCTTTAGGCGAAAAATGAGCCTTCGGGTAAGAAACCAACAGATAAGAAAGAAGATTCAAAAAAAGATCCCAAATCCGCTTGCAATCGAGAAGCCAGCGTTGATCGGCGCCATTCTGCGGACTCCAAAACTGACAAGTGAGTTGAATATTTGTAACAATTTCTTGCGCGTGCTTCCAAACTGGATTACAATAATTATTAACATAATTAAGTTTATGTTAATCCTAACATTAAAAATCTCATTAACTAGCCACACTCGTGATTTATTTTTTCTGTTTATTGTCCTTTTAAACATTGAAGTGTGTGCAGTGCCGATTGACTAGGATGATACTAATAGGATGAGGTAGCATTCGCATGAAGAAAGGCTGGCTAAATTGGGGGGGGGATGTTGGGGGTTCCACTGGAGCAGAGGAGATTGAGCAGCGGATATGACAGAGGTGTTTAATAGAGTGGGGGGAAAAAAGAATAATATAGGAATCCTCACAGGGAAAAGAGTTAGTTCTAACTTAAAAACATGAAAGGGTTTTTGGGGAAGGGTTGAGCAAGGTTGAAACGCAGGTAAAATAGGAATTCTGTGGAAGGTGGATGGGAAACAAAGTATGGTTACTAAGTGAAATATAAACACTGCACCTTTGTTCTTGTGTTTTTTTGGGGGGAAAGAAACTGTTTCCTACTTGGAACTTAATGTAGCAATGGCAGACCCCTAGGAATGATTATTATATTGGGTGAATGAATGGATTGGCGCCAATGTGGCTTTGGGTTAGTCTGCATGCCAAACCAAAGCTCCAGCGCTATCTAAATGCACACAGTCTCCTTTGTTTAATATAAATTACTAAATTGGTCCAGTAGCTGAGGAAAGTGTATCCCAAGATAATGTTTTACTATATTTTTTGTTCTGTTTATATTTTGTTATATTTTCGGCTGTAATTTAAACTAATAATAATAAATTAAACTGAAATGCCTCCCTTGTCTCTCTTTCCTTCTCCCCCTTTTACGTTTTTAGTTGAAAGGGGTGAATGATGCTAGTCACTGTTGGACAATGTACAGAATGCACAATCTTGCACAAACAAAAAAATAATTCTAGCAGTTAAAAATAATGCTTCAGTCATATCGCCTTGATATTTGACAACTATTTAATGGCAATATGTGGTATGAATGAGTTTATAGTCTTTGACCTGACACGTGCTGAATAATGTCCAATTCATAAAAATCTGGCCGACTGTAAACTTTAATGTGTTCCAGCGCTTTGGGACATCCTCCCGGTCTGAAAGGCGTTATATAAATTTGTTGTTATCCCATGCCCCAGCATATATGTAGATTGCATGGCTATGGATTTATGGTGGGATCTGTCCTGTGATCCCCTCATAGTGTACTCCATGCTAAAACAAACTGCTGCCCCAAACCATTGACAGGCCTGGAACCTCTGTGGGTCTTGTTCACTGATGTGGGCTGCACACGACAATTAAGTTTTAACTGTCAAATTAGCCTCTCAAATCCAGCATTTGCTGTGTAGCACGTTTATTTTCCTTTTTATATCTTTTAGCCTTTTTTTTTGCTGGCATGTGTATAACATAACTGCATCAATAATCAAATGCGATATGTACTTTAGAAATGTCGGTGCAAAGAAAGATGGCAAAGAGGAGGCCAAGAAACTGGAGGATAAAAAGAAAGACGCAAAGGATGACAAAAAAGATCTGAAAAAGGATGAGCGGAAAACTGGATCTCACACGGGTGGAAGCCGAGCGGGTAAGGGATATGAGTTAGTGGGTAAAAAGTGGGAATATTAAATTGCGCTAACGTCCCCAACATCTGAAGCCTGAAATTATCAGGTTTAGAAACAAAATTGAGCTATGATTTGCTCTCCTGAGGGTTCTGCCCTGATATATAGATTGCATGGCTATGGATTTATGGTGGAATCTGTCCCATGATCCCCTCATAGTGTACTCCATGCTAAAACAAACTGCTGCTCCAAACCATTGACAGGCCTGGACCCTCCGTAGGTCATGTTCACTGATGTGGGCAGTACATGTACACGATTTGCGTTTTAAGTTTTAGTCAGTGGGGAAAGTATACCTAGTTTCATCTGAATCTGGAAGAATGTGCAGAGTTTCTGTTCTGAATTTGTGCATAGGCTTGAGCCAGCGGGTGGGGGTGAGGGTTGGTGGGGGGAGATAATGAGCAAACCGAGAGCTAGATTTATAATAATAATAATAATTTATTATTTGGCCAGCTGATTTCAAAGTATGGCTCTGCAAATTAATTTTATTTCTTGTGGTTGAATCAACTGCTTCATTACAGGGTTTATGTTTTTGTTAAAAAGTGTCCTTGTACCTCTAACTTTACACAAGCTTCGTTTTCTTGCCCTATCTTCAGGAAGTCGGGGTTCGGAGAGAATAGTAGTCATGGACAAGTCTAAAGGAGAACCAGTGATTAGTGTGAAAACAAAGTCTAAAGACGAGGCACCGGTAGGTCCATATTACAATGCTCTTCAGCTGTGACATTTATACTGCTGTGGCACAAGAGGGAGTAAGCCGTTTGTGATCATTAGAACGTAAAATAAATGCTTGACGATAAAAAGACCAAGGTCCATCTAGTTCGCCTTCCACCTTCCTGGCAGTTGCATGTACATACGTCCCAAACTACCTGTGTCCTATATCCGATAATGTTATTTCCTAAAAGAAAGCTTATCCAATCTGTGATTGAAGGAATCAGCATCTCCTGCTTCAAGCGTCTCTCTGGGGAGCCTGTTTCACAGGGTTTACTATTCGCTCACTGAAGTAGTTTCTGTAGATTTGTTCTGAATTTACTCCCCTTCAATTGCATATTGGTATTTAAAACTTCCTAACAATCGAGTTCAAGAAAAATATGTAGCAAAACTGTCAAAATAAAATACAAAAGAAACAAGAATTTTTTGAAAATGAAGCCTGAAATTATTAGGTTTGCGCAGAGCAGGACCTTTTTTCAAAAAAAAATTGGTTTAAAATTTGTTCTCCTGAGGGTTCTGCCCCAATATATAGATTGCATGGCTATGGATTTATGGTGGAATCTGTCCAATGATCCCCTCATAGTGTACTCCATGCTAAAACAAACTGCTGCCCCAAAACATTGACAGGCCTGGAACCTCCATAGGTCATGTTCACTGATGTGGGCAGTACACGACAGTTACACTTAAGTTTTGATCAGTGGGGAAAGTATGCCTAATTTCATCCTAATCTGAAAGAATCTGCAGAGTTTCTGTTCTGAATCTGTGCTCAGGCTTGAGTCATGGGGAGCAGGGATACAACAACAACAAAATTACATTTGTAAAGCGCCTTTCACGTCGGGAGGACGTCCCAAGGCGCTGGACAGACAGAGTTACGGATAGTGAACAAACGGGGAATAGAGGCAAGAAAGAAATAGCAGATTAAATTGAATAAAAAGGATACAAGATCAGTTCCAAGTTAAGTAAACTGATTGCATAAACCAAAAAAAAATGGGAAAAGATTGGACAAAATAGTGTTAAAGCTGTTAGAACTATACCTATGAAATGAACATATTCCAAGACATTTATTCAGTGCAGGGGGGCCAATATGGAACATGGAGATGAGCAACATAGTGGTCAGCAAGTTATCTCCTTTCATATCTGGGAACTGATTTCAAATCATCTGATGGAATGGTTATGTCTCCTTTTTGTTTCTTGTTTAAAGATCTTAAGTGAAATGTGTCAGGACCAATCACACTTCATTTTCTTGTAAGCACAGATTTAACCTCGCTCTCTTGGCCTAGACTCCACCCAAGGGTACTACTACCCACAAATCAGCAATCTGAGAAATGATAAGAATAGCTGGTATGGGAAATGGAAAGCTAGCACTGTAATTGTATTATGTAATTGTGTTCTGGCTAGAAAACTTGAATTTGCTCGGCTAATGGATTTATGTTTGGATTTTCTTGTGCGCAGCAGGGATTCAATTTAAAAGGTCAACAGACCTGTCGCTGGTGGGGGAATAAAATACATGAATTTATCTCACTATCAAATGACTACATCTACAGTTTCTATAATCCTATAGGGATCAACACTGTTATGTTAACTGCAGTGTGAATCTGAAGTTTAAAAATTACTTGTTCACAGCAACCTGCCAAAACTCAAGAGAGCAAACCAGACAACAAAGAGAAGGAGAAAAAAGACATTCTGTCATTTGACAAGATCAAAGAGCAGCGGGAGAGAGAACGCCAGCGGCAACGTGAACGGGAGATTCGGGAAATAGAAAGACGCAGGTACAATCAGCTTCACGTCTCAAGACAAACTGCAACACGTCAGAAAATTCTATTCCAATTTCTTATTATGCTGCTAAATATTTGCTTAACAGCTGTCTAAATTCATTTTAGTACAAATATCCCTAAAGCAGCTTGTTATGCATTGTGTTCTGGCTAGAAACCGTGAATTGCACGGCTAATGGATTTATGTTTGGATTTGTCCACTGATCCTTTCATAGTGTACTCCGTTCTATAGCAAATCACTGAACCAAACCATTGACCGGCCTGAATATCCCGTAGGCCTTGATCACTGATGGGTGCAGTACATTCCATTAGATTTTATATATAATGTATATGGATATCTATAATGTATATATAATGTATAAAGTAATGTTATATTTTTATAAAACCTTGGTGAGTGCTGTGTGCAGCCATCACTGTTGCAGAGGCAATGATGCTAGTGCAGCACAGATTTATTCAGATGTTACCAGGGATGTGAGGATACAACTAGCGAGAATGACTGGTCTTGTTGGAGCTTTTTTCTTTCTGGAGATGAGGTGTTTGCGACAGGACTTCATAGAGGTGTTAAGAAGGGGTTTGATAAGGTGACATAAATTGGCTGTTTCCACTTGTTGGTGAAATGAGTCCATAACAAGGGAAGATTAAATATAAGATAGACACAATCAACAAGATCTTGTATTTATATAGCAGCCTTCACAAAGAATAACATCTTGAATGTTATCAAATGAGTTTAAATGAAAGCATTAGCATTAGGAAGTCTGTATCGCAGTTCCAGGCAAGAGGTGTTTCAGGGGGAGACTTTACAGAGGCTTTTAAAGTTATGAAGATGTTTGATAAAGTATCATAAATTGGGTTAGGAAGAACTCTTTTATATAGAGGGTGGTGAGATTGTGGAACTCACTGTTAGAAACTAGTTAAAGCAGAAAACATCAGTTAGGAAACTGGATGGATGTTTGAGGAAGAAGTGAATCGGGGAAGAGAGGAGGGATATGAAAGGGGGCTAGGGAGAGGCCGTTAGGATTGTGTGCATGTTTGCCTTCCTAATATTTTAAATTTATTTTTTGAAATTTCTGATATTTCCTAGCTCTTCACTTGCAAGTTTGCAAGATAGTTTTACCCAGGGGAAATAATACATGAAATAGTTTGAGATCCTTTTTGGGTGCCAACTGCACTGAGAACATGGGTTGAAAAGCTTATTTGTCTTTCCAACAAATGTACTTTCTGACCATATTTAGATAAAATGTGTTAGCATGATCTTGGTTATGGTTACAGTAAAAATTGCTGATTTAGAAACTTGCTATTTAAAAGAATTTGTCTTGCTCCCTTTCAAATATGCCAAAAGAGCCCAGGTACATAGTGGTTCTACCAGCAGACAAGAGACGATCGTAGTAGAGCCTCGTAACTGGCTTCTTGGAACGATGTTAAGCGGAAGTAATTTGACCCAAAAGTCCTATCTCTTTCCTGTGGGTTCCGTACCATCCTTACTTGCCGTCAATGTTTGATGGCTCTCACAGGAACAACTTGCACTTGTATCGTGCTTTTCACGTAGAAAATCTCTCAAAAGTGCTTTCAACGGACCATGTGGAACACCGAACAAGGTGAAAAGAAGGAGCTTGTGGAAGCAAGCACGGTTGAAGACAGTTGAGCTACAAAGATTGTGTGGATTCAGAAAGAGCTTTAGCTTCAGAGAATTATCAACTGAACCAAAATGTTCTGGAAATTTCACAACCGGGGAATTCAGAGTAACCAAGAGAAAACCTTTGTCTCAAAGTAATGCTCAATGTTCTCCATTCACTGTACTGTTCTCCTGAACTTCAATCAGTCATTGGTCTATATGGGAAGCAGAAACGTGGAGTAGCCTCACACTTTAACAATCACTTACTTGACGTGTGCCACTCACTGCAAAGGGATGTAGCTTTTGGTAGATCTGTTTCTAACTAGGTCTCTATTCTGCCAAGTCAACCTCTGATCCCGGTGACCAACCGTATGTGAAGGATGGTGAATGAAGAGGAGAGATTAGCTTGTAGCTTCTTTATTATTCAAGTGTTGACATCTTCCATATGGCATGGCGTTTTATAGTCTATGTGAAGAAGGAGGATCTCCTTTCTACTGATGTAGATTTAACTTCTTATATTCGTCCATTGGGGGGAAGAGTTTCTTTGCTCAGAAAGTAGTCACGTCAGATTTGATTTGCACCTGATTAAAAGAAACGGCCTGTGAAAGATCTTCGATTCCACGAACTGCTGTTTTATTTTTGCCTGCTTGTGATTTGAGACGTTACCTGAAAAAGTGTAATGTTCTCTCTCTAACAGGGAACGTGAGAAGTGGGAGAGGGAGCGTATGAGAGAGCGCGAGGAGCGAGAACTGCTCCAGAGAGAGCGTGAACGACTAGAGGTTGAGAGAAAGCGTCTTGAGAGGGAAAGGTTGGAACGAGAGAAACTGGAGAGGGAGAGAATCCGAATAGAACAGGTAAAAGGAGACCAGAAAATGCATACGAACGTCACAATGAAAATTGCAACTTCCAGCTGCTGAAGTTCTTAATTGATGCAAAGTGGAAACCACATCTGACCACGGCTGAACTTCCATCAGTTGATTGAGCAAAAACAAATTACAGCAAAAGGGTGTGTAGGGATACACTTTTGTACTTCATTATAGTTGCTGTTCCCTATCTGTTCCCCCATCCCCCCAAAGAAAGGCTGAACAAGTTCTACCTTGTTGCAGTTTGCTATATGTTTTAGGGGTGGAATACCAGCTCTTTCTGGGGGAGCTGCTAAAACAACGTGGGTTTTGAGTGCAGGTGGCTTCAGGAAAAAAAATGAAACTCTATTAGAGCCATCCTAGATGTGTTTTCCATCCTACTTGACTCTTAATAACACATCTTTGCCTCTGGCACCGATTACCTCAGCTGTCATATGCTCACTGCACTTCAGAGCCAGTGTGTAGCCTTGGAGTTCTGTTCAGCAAACTCTCCTTCATCACATCTGGATGCTGAACAGGGCTGTTTTTCGTCTTCACCATGTCACCCACCTCCAGAGTTGACTTGTCCAATGCTCTCCTCACTGGCCTACGTAGCTGTCATAATCTTAAGTTTATCCAAAATTCATCCTCTTGTACACTTAGCCACACTAAGCTTTGCATGTCCACCCCTGTCCCTGCCTCTGTGACTTCCAGCCTTACTCTCCCACTCATTCCCTCCACTCAGCAAACTCGAGCCTGCTGAATGTTTGCAAGGCTCCTCAGTCCCACCATTTTTGGATGAGCCATCATTCTACCCTCTGGAATTCCCTGCCTAAATCCGTCTGTTTTCCCCCACTCTATCAGTCTTTAAAAGCCTCCTACAAATCTTAACTTCAACCATAGGCGCCTACGGTCGAACTCCCCCATCCTCTCTCAGTGTCCCGCAAAGAAGTTCTATGTGAACTGTGATATCTAATACAAGTTGTGATATGTGCTTTGCTGTTATTACCAGACGTGTACCTTCCCAGGACCCAAAACCTTGGACTTGTATGTCCCTTTCATGTAGAAAATCGTTTCAATGTACTTCTCAGTGACAGAATGGTGGGGGTAGGAAGGAGATGGCTGACGGCATACTCAAAAAAGGATGGATTTTGAAAACTGAAAGGGAGGGTATATCCTCCAGATAAAATTGGTCATTTACTTGATGGGTGTTTGTCATATATTGCTTTGCAAATTTGCGTTCACCTACAAATATATACACTAGTATTTAAAGTGAATCCTGTCTCCAAGACATGAAAAGGCACTATAACGAATGCAAGAATTATTGTAAAATCTCACCCTGGAGTAGGCATTTCTGCTATGACACTTTTTTTTTGCTTTTCGTTGAACAGTAGATGATGCTTATTGGGCTTTCAACATCCAGAGAAAATAAGTGTGTGTTATGTACAGTAGATAAACGTGCAGCAAATGCACTAATCATCAGACAACAGAAACATTAGATTGTCTTGTAAACATTCCGGAAGCTAACTCCGAAATGTGGTGGTATAAAATGTGACCAACAAAGTGTGTTGGTTTTAGTTGGAGGATCATTTATTTCATCCCTTTAATGTTTAAAATATAAACGCGTCTTAAAAACGCTTGCACTCTACAGGAGAGACGGCGAGAGCAGGAGCGAATCAACAGAGAGAGAGAAGAGTTACGACGGCAGCATGAACAAATGCGATATGAACACGAGCGTCGCGGTGGCTTAAAAAGGCCTTACGATGATAATAGGTATGTGAGGAGCCTGCTTTTCACCCAAACTACCTTTTTCCCATCACTGCTGCATTGTTTGCCTGTTTAATATTTTGCAATAATGCTACACTACACAATGGGCTTGTTGTTTGTGTTCCAGGAGAGATGATCAATACTGGCCTGATCAGAAACGCATGGCCATGGACAGCGATGCCCGGTACAGCAGCCATGGTTCAGAGTTTAGTCGTCCAGATCGGTTCAATGATTTTGATCACAGGGATCGGGGCAGGTTCCCAGACATGCCTTCTGTGCCAGGGGAGAGGTGTGTTACACTTGGTAATAGTCTCTGACCTGCATACAGGTGCACTGCTTTAAGCGGGTGGATACGCAGTAGAGGTTGATGAAACTTACAAAAACCTATTGCATTTAAGAACATTTCATAATTATTGAAGCAGCTACTTATGCTGGTGTTTGTAGTTCAAGATATTTTTATGTATATTGATGCTCCCATCAAATGCAGGAATAGGGTCTTGATAGTTGGGTTATAGCAATTTACATTTATCGAGCACTTCGTAGGCGGTTGAAAGTCGAGCCTTCGTGGTCAGCAGCTCAACTGCAAAAACACATGCTTTTCCCATCAAAGACAATGTTTTAAAAACAAGATTCTCATTTATTATGTTTCATTTACTCGGGGTTTGTTTTCACAAGTGACCACTGCCTTGCTAATGATGACTAGTCCTCTGAGCTGTTAAATTGATTGTATATTTACAATTGTTCCCTTTAGCAGTCATAATGCCATCAGCCTCAGCTTCACCATTATTGCTCATTTTGTGAGCTTGTCAGTTAACTAGGATTGTTTCAGACTCACTTTGACCTTATACCGATATTTCTACTTCAGAGAAAAAAATTAGAATTTTTCCCTCTGTTAATCTTAACCATTGCTTTGTTTACCGTGTCTTGTGCAGACGGATGGATCGGTGTGAGAGGAGGGACGGTGGCCCACCACGCAGAGACGAGCCACACTTTGGAGGGAGATTTGAAAAGAGACCTGAAGGAATGCACGACCGAAGAGGTGGGAGCCGGGGTCGGGACATGATGATGAAACCCGGCAGAGAACACGACAGACAACTTGATCACGGCTCCCATCGCAATCACAGTCCTCGACACGAATCTCCGCGGAGAGGACCGCCACGTGGGGACTGGAAAGCTGATCGGATTCCAGAACGACGTGATGTCGGGTATGAGACTAATCACGAAAGCAAGACACTCTACTCAATTCAACACCAGGAACTACTGCACAGAGAGCGACTGGAGGTGCACTACAGTAGGAATGTGTTTACTGGACGTGAGATCAGAGGGGACCAATTATGCATAACATAACATCCAAAATTGAAGAGGAATTATAATGAGGGTTGAGTACAATGAAGGGTGTAATCATCTACATAATTTTGTTCCCCTATGAGTTGAACCCATAACCTTCTGACTCGGAGGCAAGTGTGCTACCAGTTGAACTAAGCTGACACAGGCAATCAGGCTGTCTGATATTTATTGTTTAAACAATAGGAAACTGTGGGGTAAGGTCCTTGCCAAAAATTCAGTTCTGCGTGTGGTTACAAGGGCAATTTCCCCACAGTCACAATTTCCCTATTCTCTCTCATGTGCCACTGGATTTTGTTTTGCCAGTAGCAGAAAGGTAGGTGTTAATTAATGGTGATCGGTTAGTCAGAAAGAAAGGGAGCCTGTTTTATATTAGAAACGGTATAAGGCAGCTTATGTTGCAACTGAACAACTAATGTTCTGACAAGAGATTTCTCGCTTGAAAGCGTGCAATTAAAAATCTTGTTTACACTAGGTTTGAATGGGCAGATTTGTTTCTGCCAAGTTGGAGTTTAAATGAGCTTGACTATTTTCTGATTAGAATGGTCCATTTGGCTAATTGTAGAACCACTAACCAAAGAGACTTTCACACAGATCAACACAATTGTTGCAGGATGCGCAAAGCCACTCCTGTAACCTATGTAATTTGTGGGCCCCAAGTATCTGAGTAATACAAAAGCATCTTTTTTTTTTCCATGTCTTTTTCTCCTCCGCTCTTTCCTATCCCTCACTCAATTGGGGTGCGTTGCCTCTGGCTAAAATCTTGTGAGCATTGTTGTGGCGAATGTCTCATAGCAGCAACCAGAAGGATCTGTTATCTCAGCTAGGATAGTTACTTGACAGAGAAGCAAAATGCGAGAAGAATTTGAAAAAATGGGTCTCAAATAAAGTGATTCATTAATCAATTTCAAATATCTTACAACTGATTTGGGTGGAAAAAGGGAATGAAATGCACTTGCTGTATAGCCAGTTAAATCTGACATTACAATCCTGTTTTCTTTCTTTTACAGTTCCAGAGCAATAATTGGTGAACGAGATGGACAGGTAACTAATTACTGATGGGGATTAATGGCACTTATATTGATTGTACATACGAGTGACCTGGGTGATTTGGAGTCCAGGATTCTCTTTTTAGTTGGTGTGAGGGGGGAGGAGCGAGGGTGGATATTGAACCAGATGAATGTCCTTCAGACTTATAGGGAATTAATAAATCAGATTGCACATTCACCATTATACAGCTTGAAAGAACTCCTAAAGATTATTGTAAACAGAGCTTAGGCAATGGGTTATCTCTATCGTGACAAGAAAAGGGTCAGATAGTGAAAGCCGTTTGGTCTGATTTGTTATAGGATCAATCATATCTAAACGTTTTGCAGTTGCTACTTCTCCTTTTAATACTTCTGCCATCTGTCCCGAAGTTGCCCTTTACATCTTCTACTACTGTTACTTTAGTGTATCTGAAATTATTGTTGTGGGTTTACTTTCTTAATTCCTTAAACCAGACAGTGCATGTAAATGTCAGCTTCAGTGAATTCTGTGAAACAAATTCAGGGGCCCTTCAAGCTGACACCTTTGGTCTGGGATTGTGCTGTTGAAACTTATATTGAGGGTAAATCGGTGAGAGTGATAGGTAGGTCAGAGGCTTAGGTCAACAAAGTGTCTCACTAACAGCCTGAAGAGAGATCCTTGTGATGTATAAAATCCCACTTTCAGCAGTAGTGTTGATAGTAACCACCTCTGTGCAGTGATTACTGCTGAAACAAGAAGATTTTAGTGAAAAGCATAACCAGAAGTTTACAAGTGGAGGGAGTTAGATGAAAAGAGGTTCAATTTATCTTCAGATTCCAGTTAAACTAACATGTGAATGGATTGACTTTCTCTGTTGGTTTAGCATTACCCTGATGTGAGACACGGAGGGCCCGATCGGCACGGCCGGGATTCAGGATCACAGCGGGAAGCTTGGGGCGGCTCCGGGGGTGGCTATGCACCTGACATAAAACGAATGGGTGGAGACAGCAGAGCGGGAGTTGTTCCTCAACAGTCCAGGTAATCGGCAGGAAAGGTCACCCGGCTTAATCATCTCCTAACTCAAAACGCTGCTGTCCTACTCACCGTGTTTACTGGCTGCATTGGATGTCGGGAAATGACATCCTGACCCATCGCCGTGTGTGCACTTATCAGTTGCAGAGACAAAATGCCGCAGGCATTGAATTACCTCATGGCCAGTGAAGATTATTGTTTAAATCGGATTTTATCCAATATCTACAAGTTTACCTGTAAACTGACTTTGCACAAGTCGTATTAAACGTTATGTTCCCGACTGATATGACTAATGTGAGTTTTGCTCTGTTGGAAATTCCACACGTTCATGTTGGGTGTTGGCTAGAAAATTCGTCTGCGCTCCCACAACATTAAACAGCGTGTCGCGAGGGTAGGAAGCTTTTTGAAGATTCTATCTGTAATTTTATTGCATGTTCATTTATTGTGCTTGTTCCTCAATAGGGAGAACAGGGATTGGGCCGGTGACCATGGGCGTAAGATAGACGGTCCTCAAGAGCGTCCCTGGCAGGGTGGCATGGACGGAGGAGGAATGATGGGAAGAGATCATGACCGCTGGCAAGGTAGAATGTAAATGGAATCTGTAGTTTCTTTAGGGGTTACAGTCAGTTATTTGGCTGTTTTTTGTTTTTTCTTAAAACTTGATGAATATGAACTTCATCCCCAATTAACAAATATGGGAAAGACTAAATTCACATGAGTTGTTTACCCTGCTTTTCCCAAATTAGTAAACTTGGAAAACTAGTTTGGTGGTAAACTCATTGGGGCCAAAGCCTCCAAACCTCTTAATGACTGCTTAGTATTATGGAAAAATGTATAAAGTCATACCTGTCATGTTTTAGAATCATAGAATCGTACAGCACAAAAAGAGGCCATTCAGCCCATCAGGTTTGTACCGGCTCTTTGAAAAGAGCAATGCAATGTCAATCCCACTCCCCATAACCCTCCAAACCCGTCCTCCTCAAATATCTGTCCACCGCGTTTTTAAAAGTAGTTATCAAATCGGCCTCCACCACCCTTTCAGTGGGTGATTCAAGAAACATCGGGACTGAAATTGCTTATGTTAGGCTCCTTATCCCACACGATAAATAATAATCCTTGTATTTGATACAATGCCTTTTACATTAGGAGGGAGTCTGCAAGCGCTTCACAGGATTTACTGTCAAGTGTAGCGACTGTATTTTATAGACAAACACCACACCTACTCCACTGGCATGGCTTAGGATTTATGGGTGGTATCTATTCTGTGATCCGCTCATAGTATACTTCATGCTAAATCAAATACTGTCCAAACCATTGATGGGCCTCCATAGGTCTCATTCACTGAAATGGGCAGAACAGTCAGTACATTGAATATTCACCACTCACACCATTTTAAGGTAAAAGCTGACTGCCCTATGGAGTCATTTTAATCACTCTGGGAAGTGGTAGGATTTGTCTGATGTTCATGATCTGACTTTCAGTGCGTACAGCACTTTTATACACTTGGCCGTTTTAAGATACAAGTGATATATGGTTATAAACACTGGCCTGGGGTGTTCCAGACTCTGATTCACAAAGCTCATAGAAAAGCATTTATTTCAATTAGTCATGAGTAGCATGGCTTTTGGGTCGAGGCTTTGGATTTACAGTTTTTTGAAGTAACCAAGTATTTTGCTGTTGCAGGGGGTGACAGGAGCATTCCTGCCCAGTCTGGACAAGGGCACATGATGCAGCGAGGAGGAGGCATGCCTGGGTAAGGAGCAACATTTCCTAATGGGGAAAGTCCACAAGGAGAATGTTCTGTTATAATTACTCCAAACAGCTGTAATAGAACTTCTAAAGTATTTTCATATCTGTCGCAAGGCGTCAATCAGCACTTCAGAAAGTCTTAATGATTCTTCTTACCGGCCAGACTACTTCAGTACATTTATGGAGATAGGAGCATCCTAGAGCTGCTCCAGTTAGTTGAGCGAGGCGGCCACTCTTGTGACCTGTTCGGAAGCCGATCTGGAGCCAACAGAGTTCAGGGAAGTGCAAAGCCCAACGTTGTTTAAACCAGAATCTGTGCTACGTTGCGCTACTTTCTGATGTAAATGGTGACTTTCCAAAAGCTTTACTTGTGAAACCCAACAAAACAAGTGCTTTCATGTAAACTGGGCTCCTTTTTTGATTCCTGCCTTTGGGTTCTGCCTGCAGGTGTGTGTACGTTCATTAATGCTTTAATAATTGAAATGCTTTCTTACACTTAAACTTTAAACTGGATTCTGTTGTCCGGCCTCGTCTCTGAAAATCAAGGGGGGCTTTCACGTAAAATCAGTGGAGACTTCAAACATGTTTCGATTGCGTCCCACCAGTTAAAGCCTGAAATGCTTTGTCATGTGAGCTCGAGACCGCAGAGTAAATCTGTCACAGCTTCCAGCAGAGCCAATTCAAGCAAAAAAAGTCATGAAATAATTCATCTTTCCATATAACATCGGGAAAGTGTTTGAATCAGTACAAGGTTTTGAGGTTAGGGAATAGTATGTTTTTTCCAGGGGTAATAATTCCTTTTTTTAAAAATTGTCAGATGCTTGTGACAGTTGGAAGTTATTTTCCTGCTGGCGGCTCAGCTGGAGACTGCAGATTAGGTCACACTCACTTGTCAGGATTATACATAAGGTGGGATTCACATAAATAAAATAACTCCTTGCCCGGTAATAGTCTAATTTCTAATGGGAATTCCTGTGTGGAGTAAGTTTGGTGAAAGCTTTGATTAATTTGTAGCGTGTCTGCAATGTACTGAGTTAAGAGAAACCGTCGCTTTTGCTTCCGCAGGCATGGAGGCTTTATGCAAGGAGGAAACCAACAGAGCAGCATTCCGCCGGTCAACCGATCAGTCCAGATGATGCCTGGAGGTGGGATGCAAGGAGGAGCAAGTGGTTTTGGCAACCAGGACCGAGTACAGAGACCTTCCACTGACCCACGCTTCCAGCGTCGCTACTAAACGTGCTTTTTACAGAGTTGATTTTAATGTAAAGGAAGTCTTCAATGGTGGTGCTTAGTGCTAATTGCAGTACCATGTTTTGTGTATTTTGTTTGTTTACTCCCCTCTGAAACTTCATCAGAATTATTTTGGAATTAATCATTTCACGGTTACTTTATTGTTAAAGTACTTGTAATGAGACTAGACTCGGATGAAGAGTCACTTCGGTTTTCCATAAATAAAATTTTAAAACAAACATGGTGTCTGGTTTAACTTGAATGTTTTGATGTGCTTTTTAACTAATGTGAGTATTTACTCTAATGTGCATTATGTGCCGGCTTCTTTGGTTAGAGAGGTGCAACGTTGCCAGGAATAGATTTAAGAGTGATATGGTAGCCTTTTTTATAAAAAACTGAAATCCCCTGAAAGTATTGGCTTACGCTGAGTAGGTATTGTTCCACAGGTACTGGAATCCCTCCAATACTTTCCAAAGTGGCCATCCTTCATTGTAAGTTCTAACAGTCTACTGAAAGCATCTTCTCTGCCAATGTAGGTCTGAGCACTGGACCACAATCAGAAGTAAACCCTAACTGATTTTAGTTACCTTGTGTCTTTTTGCATAATTGATTTTAAAGTAAAATAATAAACATTTCACCCACAAAATATACAGAAAATTCACTTTTTAAGTATATTCTGTGAAGCGCTTTGAGATGTCTCAACGATGTGATAAGATGCTATATCAAATGCAAGGATTAATAATGTAAAAATGAATACAATGTACATTTATATTGTGCCTTTCATGTCAGGAGGATGTCTCAAAATGTTTGATACTGCTGGCTGAGCCCCCAAGCTGGGATGAGAGATGTAGTGAGTGGGAAGGGTAAAGATGATTGAAGGCGTGATCGAAGAGGTACATATTGAGACTGGCTGGTGTGCCAATGGCTCAGCGACGGTGGACACAACACAACTTCTGATGAAGTGGTTAACTGGGTTCTCAACAGGCAGTCTTGCCCTGCGGTGGATGTGGGGGTAAGGAGAACATATTTAGGGTGAACAAGGAACGTAAACTTCAGAAATGTGGGGTCCCTGTGATCGGGTCACTAGAATTCCTTTGCACAGTTGTTGCATCGTCACATATTAAAGAGTTAAATGAAGATAAATGATTATTATCTGAAGTTCCTACAACTGCCAGGGGACACTGGCTACGTAGATAACAGCCTGTCTCGGTTGCACTCAGATAAGACAACGAGCACGTCGTCCATCTCTCTGTTGTGAAACAGGCATTAAAGATCTTGTGGTGCTATTGGTGGGAGGAAACGGTACTCCTGATGTCATTCCTACAACCCGTTTTAATTAATCAGTCATTCCCTTTGTGGCTGTGTGTCAGATGCAGCGTGTGTGGAAAGTGCCTGCCTTCACATACAGTGGAATGGGATAGCAGTGGGAGCGAACATGGGGAAACGGCAGGGGAATGGGATTAAAGTAGAATGCTCCAATGGGGAACCTGGAACAAGCTGTCACAGTGAGCCTCTGAACTGTAAATTGTGTAATTCTGTGCTTCAGCAAAAGAGGTGTGTTCCCGTTAATCTGTGATCTTTTTCTGCCTCACTCTGGTTTCAGGAAGTACTCAGTATTTCTGAGCTCCACCTCCCCTCTTCCACCCTGGCAACTGTGGCTTGGGGTGTACTCTCCGTTCTTCTCCGTTCGTCACTCTACGCTGGCAGAACAACTGCGATATATTCGCTTCAGCGTGACCAGCAGCGATTCAGAATGAGTGGAACAGGTAACTAACTCTCTCCATTCCACACTCCTTGGGTTTCTCCGAGGACATTTTCTTTTCTCAGCGTCCCAACCATTCCACATCTCATCAAAATTCTAGTGCCTGTACTTCTGAACCCTTCTCAATCCCCCCCCCACCCCCCCCACATCCGGCCAAGCTCTAAAGAACATAAGAAATGCTGGACAAAAAGAGACCAAGGTCCAGCTAGTTCACCTTCCTGGCGATTGTATGCACATATAATAATAATTCTTGCATTTGATATAGCGCTTTTCACATCTTTTAGATGTCTCAAAGGGCCTCACAGAATATACTATAAAGTGAATTGACTGTATATCTGTGAGGTGAGTGCTCTAACCACTGAGCTACAGGACTCTGTATGGCCCGAACTACCTATTGTAGTTCGTGACATATGGAACTACCTGTGGAGTCCTGTAGCTCGGTGGTTAGAGCACTCGCTTTGCATGCGAGGGACCTGGGTTCGATTCCCAGCAAGGTGACATCTTGGGCAAGTTTCCTTACTCCACACGCCTGATAATAATCCCTCAAGAAAAAACTAACAGTAATAAATTGGTCATTTCAAACTGTTTGTGGGACGCTGCAGTGTGCAATTGGCTGCTGCATTTCACCCACAAAAAAATACAGTCAATTCATTTTACAGTCTTCTGTGAAACGCTTTGAGAAGTCTTGAAGACGTGAAAAGTGCTATGCAAAATGCAAGGATTATTATTGTCCTATATCTCAATGTTATTTCCTAAAAGAAAACTATCTAATCTGTAAAACGCTAGAAAACCATCCAATCTGTGTTTGAAGAAATCAACATTTCCTGCTTCAACCGTCTCCCTGGGGAGTCTGTTCCACAGGTTCACTATTCGCTCATTCGTCAGCTCTACCTCCTGCTGGTGTTTTTGCTGCACCAAGTCCAAGGCACCTCTTAACAGATTCAGTCCCAGCACCTCGAGACTGTAAGCGATCCTTCTTAATCTTAAAACAAGACCTAAGTAGGTTTGCAATTTCCTCCCAACGTGAAAGACGTTATATAAATGTAAATTGTATTTGATTAGAATTATGTAGAAAAGGCAGGGAAATTGGATCATTAACCTGAGGCCTAAACTTAGAAGCGCCACTGACAGAGTTGAGGGGAAGGTTATTTCACAAGGGGATTGTTGGTATGGTGAATGTTTGGCTACCCTAATAATTGAAAGTGCATGTGAAAAGTATTTGAAGAGGAGGAATATAAAAGTAAGGAAGAACACTGTTTGGGATTGATGTAGAGAAAGGTCCAGTGGAGGAGTCTGTGCACAGATGCAATTGGGAATGAGCAGGAAATGGAGTGCACAGTGTAAAATGATTACAGCTTTTCCCTTCCAATACAGTCACTACATTAACAACAATTGCCAGTAAAGCACTTTGAGGTGTTTCACGGTGAAATGCCACAAGAGTTATTTATTATTTTGGCACTAGAGGGGTTACACATTTGGAGACGTTCTCCTCATCTGACAGGCGCTACTGAAATGTAAATTTGATGGATGGTTACAGTGAAAGGTAACTAGATTTAGTGACAGAACTTGGCCGCTTAAGGGGGAAAATTAAACTCTTTGTGGGAAATTTCAGAGGAAGGGATTTCAAAAGACGAACTCCTGAAAATGATGGCGAAAGGACCAGCTCACATCTTTGATGTCAGGACCCCAGCAGAGGTGGCGGAGAAAGGAAAAATCGAGGGATCCATTAATATTCCAGGTAGGAATTTGATTACTAGGAGACTCCATCTTTGGCTCACTATAGCAGGTTGTACTTTCAGCCCCTGACCTAGGGCTCTAACTCTTAATGTCTTGCCTTCATATATACAGGACTGTGCCTCTCTCAACCCTTCCGTCAGCAGGATTCCTCTCTACCTCCCTACATTTCCTTTGTAGGATTCCTTCTTCCCTTACTCCTAAATTCTAGAGGTCTCCTCTCCCTTCCTCGATCTCACCACTCGCTTTTCCGGCCTCTGGGTCAGAAAACTTGGTTCGAGCTCTGCAATGGACTAGTGAGCACCCAATACAGAATAAGGTCACAGATGGAAGCAAACTCCATCTATGCCTTCTCTGACTTAGTTGATCTCTGTAGGGGCAGCGGTAAAGGCTGCAAGTGACCTCAGCATTGCTGACCGAGGGAAGAGGATGCATAAATATTCATTTATATTAGTCTCTGTTTCTCTTTGACTCTCGTTTTTTTTCTGTCCTTTGTCCTCTGTTTCTCTCCCTCTCCTCCTAAGTATCTCTGTCTGTTTCCTTTTTTCTATTCCTCTCTCTTTCTTTCTGACTCACTCTGTTGTCTTGGTTTGTCTCTCTGTCTCTACCTCTCTCTCACTGTCTCTCTTTCCATTTATCTCTCTGTATCTATTGTCTACCTTTCCGTGCCGCAGTGGACGAAGTGTTGGATGCTCTGAATTTGGATCCCGAAGCTTTTCGCAAAAAGTACAATGCGGAGAAACCCAAGCCAGAGGCCGAGAATCTGGTGTTTCACTGCCAGAAGGGAATGCGAGGAAACAAAGCAACTCAGACAGCCATCTCACTCGGATATACCAGGTAACAAGCAGCACCTTCTACACCTTCTGTCACACACTCCCAGGCCAAGTTAGACACAGAATGTCAGGTGCAGGTTAGACAGCGTGTGACAATTCTCAAATGAGAATATGTCAAGGAAACAAAGGACTGTCAAGAGTCTCCCAATGATCAGACAAGTGATACACAAACTTTCATTGCCAAGCTTCGGTAAGGAGAATGCAAAAGGAGAGAGAGAGAGATCTACTTGCTTGAGAGGGCAAGAGTGAGAGACTGTCTGTCAGTGCAGCAGAGTTCTGAACTGCGATACAGTAACTAAAGAATTCATCCATTGAGAATTATAGTATATACTTCTCAGTCACTTATAGAACTCTAAGTCACCAAAGTACCACACTGTGCCAGTCCTTCTGTTTCTGAGTCACTCTCTGTTTCTGTCTATCTTCAAAACCCTCCACAGTCTTGCTCCCCACTCTACCTCTCCAACCTCCTAACCCCCTTCCACCCCGTTCGCTCCCTCCACTCAGCGGGCTCCGGCCTGCTTCCTGTCCCCCGCCTCGCTTGCCCCACTTTCGGCGGGCGGGCCTTCCGCCACTCTGCACCCACCCTCTGGAACTCCATCCCGCAGTCCCTCCGTCTCATCCTCTCCCTCGCCACCTTCAAGACCCACCTCAAGAACCCCTCTTCGACCGTGCTTTCGATCTCTCTGCTTCCCCACCTGCCCTCCCACCCCGACCCTCAGCTCGGGTCCATAACTTTGTCTGTCCAGCGCCTCGGGACGTCCTCCCTACGTGAAAGGCGCTAATGTAATTTTGTTGTTGTCTTTAACTTTCTCTCTCCCTTTCTAACCCTACACTATAGATTGCTAAATAAATATTTACCTTCACACTACCGACTGATGGTCGCACCGTGCAGGTAAATTGTGTTTAGTAACCTCACGCACGTGAGGTTGCTTCTCTCTCAGGTCAGGTAGAGCAGAGGTCCATCTAGCCAGAGTCAAGTTCTCTCTCGCTGATGATAAGACTTCCTCTCTTAACATCCATTTGTTCATTGAACTTTTTTTTCTAGGGCAAGGAATCTTATCGGAGGTTACGGTGACTGGGCAAGCAAGTAAGATACTCCGAGCGAGTCAGCTTTCCAGGATAGTAGTTACTGCTGAAGTTCACACTGTTAGGAGTTGGAGAGGCGTTTGCTGCTGGTCACATAAGCACAACCACTGAGCTAATCCTGACATTTTAGTTGATGTGTAATTGAAACCAATTCTAATTTTTCTTCATTAACAGAATGATGTGGCTTTCACAAATAAATTCTGATCTCTAAATTGCCTTACCTCGCGTGTATTTTATGCTCATGTTCAAATCATAGTTTGGAAGTTCTACCAGAGAGAGAGAGAGAGCTTCATCTCAGTGCTATGATACATAGAGAGGGACAATACCAGACTCCACCCCTGTGTTGAACCACACTGGGAGGATTGGTGCCAGGACTCCATCCATGACCAGGCTCCAATCTTAATGCTGTCCCACACGGAGCAGGGCATTTCCAGCCTCCGTACTTGCTGCTGACCCACACAGATTGGGACAGTCCCAGGCTCCAACCCTGGTAACTGAGCCACTTAAAGCAGTGTGGTCCTAAACCTCATCCCTGGTAATGAGCTGTGCAAAGTGTGACATTTCCAGGTCCCATCCTTAGTACAGTACTGAGCCACAGAGTGGCTGTCCCAACATCCATCTACTGAAACCAGCCACTTTCCATCATTCTGTTCCTCATGATCAGAGGACCATGGGGGCAGGATCCGCAATGACTCCTCTGAACATCAGTCATCATCAAAGCTCATACACACACGCGCGCACGTATAGTTGGAGAAAGGATGCTCGGGAAGGGTACAAGTGTACCCTCGACAAATGCCAGGGTCTGCAGGAGAGGAGGAAAGGGAGAATGTGTAAAATATCTTAGAGCCCTGTAACTTTCAAACTGATTCTAAGATTCTTGCAATATTTCAGTAGGAAATGTGGTCATATTTGGAACGGAGGAAAGGTTTCAAAATCTAATTACTTCTTCCTGTGTAATTTCACACTTCCTCTATTTTTCTCCCGCTCTCTTTCGCTGCCTCCAATTCAGCGATTGTTATCAGTCTGTCACTGCCTATCATGCAGAGCCTCGACGTATCTCTCGACACAAACTTTCTCCTTCCCTTTGACAGAAAAAAAAAACCTCTCCCTCCCTCTCTGGCATGCTCTCACTCTCTTCTGACACTCCCCCACCCCACATTCTTTCTCTTACAGTATCCTAGCTTCCCTCTCCCCTGAATGTCTGACACAGGCATATTCACCAGAATAATATCAGGTATGAGATAAATGTATGTACAATATGGCCATTTTTCAAAAATCAGCTGAGGTAATGAATGCCAACAAGCTCTTCGGGGATCAATACATACCAACGAGGAAGGAATTTGACATTGAAGTAGACCAAAATACAGTATATTTTAGTTATGGTGGGGGTTATAATACTGTTTTTTTGAGGGAAAAGTGCCAAAGACTTGTATCATAATAAGTTAACTTTATTGACTCTGTTTCACACGATACTTTTATTACTTTTGGGGAGGTTGTGCATCACACTGCCAGAGTAAACCCAGATGGTTCGGAAGAACGGATAAAATAACAAGTTCAGTTTCACTGGGCAACACGAACTTCATTAGATTCTCGGTTGTTGTTTTGCAGAGTGTTGTACTTCTGTCTGGCATTATTCTAGCCCCAGTTTTCCTTCCCCCGGATCGTCAAAGAAATCAAGTTTCAGTTGACATTCTGCAAGGCCGGTCCTTACCTGAAATTCCAAGTTACACAAGATCACAAAACGGGTTCAGATGAAGAAGTCCCTTTCATCTCACCCTTCCACAATATCAACCCCACTATCCTCCCATTATGGCATCAAGCAGTTTCCTAAACGAGTCCAGTGTCATGGCCTCAATCACCCTTCCTGGAAACCTGTTCCAGTTTTTAATAACTGTGTGGGTAAATAAATACTTCCTGGTCCCTGGCCTGAAATTACCCTTTGCAATTATCAACCGCCTTCTACTGCTGATCTGGTGTAACTGAAAGTGTTGTTCAGAGTTTACTTTTTCAATCCCATTTAACATGCTATATATCTCTATAAAACTTGCACACAAAAACATTTGTATTATCCAAGTAGGATAATAATGCAGCTGTGTTGATGTTAATCAGCTTACCTGTCCCAACCTTGATTGAACTTCAACAGTCTCTTCGTTCAAGGCCTTTAGCCATGTTCTAAGTTGCGTAATCTAAGTCCAAGTAATAAGTAACTCATTAGACAACTCTGAAGGGATGATCAGGATGTGCATGTCAAGCAGCACAGACTGAGATCCACCAGGTCACAAGACAAGTCCCAATCGGGAACCATTGAATGCATCTTTCCAGAAAACCCAGCCTAGTGTCTTCCCATTGCACCATCAAACTTTCAACGAGTCCAGCCAATAGGCCTTCTTCTGTACTGCTATTTCTACACAGAGGAAATGAGTGTTCGCTTTTGGCCATTTACGAAGGTTAGTAAATGAAATGAGTAAATGAACGCGAACGTAATAAACATGTCCCAAACTGTCCTACCTCACACAATTATTTCAAATTAAGCAAATTAACTCTAATATGTATAATGTCAAAAAATTGCCAAATTAAGGTAGAATCACTTACCAAAATGAACGAAACAGAGCCCATAAATTATTTTACAATGGAATCAGATTGATATCTGAAAATGAGAATATTAAAACTACGGGGAGCGAAAGTAACTGAGACTATGGCCAGATTCCGTGCTAAATCATGAATGATTCTGTAACCCAAATCCAGTCAATCAAGAAAACACTTAAGTTATGATCAAAACTTAAATTTAGGGGGGGGAAAAAAACCAATATTGCTCAGACATCTTGAATTTAGCAGCAGGTATTAATTGGTTATACTGTAATATGTCAGAATCAAGTCAAATCAAACTGCTTAACACAGCAATCCTGAGTGATAAGTTAATGTGATGGAGAATTATAGATAAGCAGCAGTACTTGAGTGGACTGAACTGTACACATACCACAAAAGCCTGTTCTCCTGATAGTTTATTTTGTTCTGCCACAGCCGCTTCCAGCTGCTCAAGTTCATTCCTGAGAATGGCATAAGATTCCTGCAATGCGGAGAAACCTCTCTAACAGAAGGAGAAATGTAAAATTAAATTCTTAGCCCGCCGGGTATCTAACACATGCTTAAGATTTCCATACCAAAACCAGGGAGGGGGCGGGGGAGAATGTAAATAGATGGTTTAGATTTAGCTAACTTACACAGAGGACAGTTAAACATGGAACAATGTGCCCAGAAGGCAGTTGGCAGCTGATTATCCACATCCATAATCAGCTGATGTTTGCTTTATTCCACATTTTTTGATAATTCTCGCATCACATAATTGCAGTTTTCACCCCCAATAGGAATTGCAGACCTCACCTTTCAGCCGGGTCTCGGTGTGTGTTTGATTCCTACCTTCAGAAGCAAAGTTTTCTTTTCCTCCAACTTCAATTCACTCAGGACTCTGTGCAAGTCATCTGACATACTATCACACTGAAGTGCAGGGAGAATAAAAATTAAGTATTAATTGTGTGTTCGTTCTTTGCATCTCAGGATATTACTGCAGCATCAGGAGAGGTTCAGACAAAGAAGGTCCTCACGTGTGGAGTCCTGTAGCTCAGTGGTTAGAGCACTCGCTTTGCAAGTGAGAGACCTGAGTTCAATTCCAGGCAGAGGGCGAAACCTTGGGCAAGTTTCCTTACTCCACACAGAGCCTAATAATAATCCCTCCAAAACCAAAAACAATAATAAATTGGTCATTTTCAATCCACGACTGTTTTGGGACGCTGCTGTGTGCAATTGGCTGCTACGTTCGCCCACAAATATACAGTCAATTCACTTTACAGTTTATTCTGTGAAGCGCTTTGGGATGTCTAGAAGACGTGAAAAGAGCTATATCAAATGCAAGGATTATTATTATAGCTCATTTAATAATTTGTCAGCACAGAAACAAGACACTTGGCCAATCTATTTTGTGCTCGTGCTTTTCTCCACATGAACCACCTCCCATTCTCCCACTTGTATCCCCGTACCCAGAGCAGTGTGCTCAGCATTGACATGCTCATAGTCCTGCCAACTTCACCAATGCAAGTTATGTTGGGCTGGTTATACCATTCCCCCCAAGACAAATTACTACCTTGCCTTTCTCATTCATTCGTGGATTCACGTAGCTTAGTGGTTAGAGCACTCGCCTCGCAAGAGAGACACCTGAGCGACAGGGCGAAATATTGGGCAAGTTTCCTTACTCCACGTACCTGTTTACCTAGCACTAAGTAGGAACCCGGTTGATAGTCGATTGGCGGATTGCTTTTCCGGAGATAATAATCCCTCAACAAAATAATAATAATTTGGTCACTCAATTTGGTCACGACTGCTGTGCGCAATTGGCCTACAAATATACAGTCAATTCACTTTGACATCTTAAGTATATTCTGTGAAGCGCTTTTGAGACGTCTCGAAGACGTGAAAAGTGCTATATTGAATGCAAGGATTATTATTATTCTTTATATCATCGCTTTCACAAAGTAACAAGTCACTCACCTAAGTCCGCCAGCCCAAAACCTCCTGGTACTTTTCTCATTCTCAATCAGATACAACTCAGATTATCGAACTTCTATTAATTTAAATTTATTCTATATTATCCAAATAACTCAGGTCACTGCCCTACTTACATTTGTTGGGGTATCCATGAGGAGGAACGGAGGACCGTGACGACCGCCGATCGAATGCTGAAGGATTTGCAAAAAACTAAAGATTAAAAAAAATAAGATTCATGTGATTCTCTTATAATTACTGGATTCAAAAAACAAAACATGAATTGTCCTGGAGGCCAGATATTCTGACAGGTTGCGTTTACGTAGCACCTTTCATACAGTTTAATGTCTCAGAGAGCTAAACAATGGCAGAGTTTGATGCCAAACCCCACGAGAAAGGGGAGGCAACAGTAGGCACAATCGAAAAGGAAGCTGTTCAGGTACGATCTGAAGATGGGTAAAGAGGGGACAAGATAGAGGGCTTGAGGCCAGGGAATTGCAGTTTCGGGGTGTGGTGGCTGAAACACAGCCGCTGATGCTATAAGCGGAGGGGACATTTGCAATGTAAATGTATCCATTAGCTAAACACGGAATAACTCTGTTGTAAAACATGTTTCTGTTTAAAAAAATATAAGTGATTTTACACTTTTTAATCCTAAATTTACATAAAAATCCAACCATGGAATGCAAAATGTTGGTGGTTTCGGTTGCAGATCGCAACGTTGTTTTTAAAATGAACTATCCAAAACTCACTGGTCTGGTCTTTGTGATAATAGTGGTTATTCCAGCAAACTGACTGGTAAAACAGTGTTGACATCATAAGATCTAGATCCCAGTAACCATAGTATTTACAGCCATTATGTTGCAGTGATGTCACAGGGATCCACAACTCTGTCGTGTAACCAACAATCACAGCTTATCTGTGAATATACACAACTGTGATGTTAGAACACTGTGGTGCCCAATCGATTCTTGTGGCTCACGTTTTAAGTCACTGAAAAAGTCCCAGTCAAAAACATAGAGTACTGTACTTACAGCAATATAATAATCCTTGCATTTGCAATAGCGACCTTATCACATCGTTGAAGACGTCTTGAAGTGCTTCACAGAAAATACTGTAAAGCGCAGCGACTGTGTGGTTTTGTGGGCGAAACGCGGCAGCCCAAGACTGCGTTCAAGTGATATCCATCACCTATTTACCTTGCACACTTTTTCTCTCTGCCATTACATCACCGATCAAAATACCCTACCAGTAGGTCCATTTATTTTATCTTGAGCTTTTTAAAATACTTTTAGAATGTTGTACCAGTTACGAATGGCTTTGACCCATTCTGCTGCCAACAGTGACTGTTTGACCCATGGATGGTAAACAACAGTTGTATTTTACAAGTAGAATAAGATATGTACCAAGTTGGCACTGGCCTCAATATCTCTTGCGGATGGACGAGGGTTGAAAGGAGTCCCATCTTCCAAGAACAGGGAAACAAAAAAAATTGCACGCGACTCCTTGGGTGACTGGGGCAGGTAGGTTGTTCACTCTCTCCAGCTGGTTTAAAAATCTACGTGGTTTGAAAGATAATAATAATAATAATAATGAAAAAGATTAATCTGTCAGCAAGTTCAGGTGCACTTCGGCTGGTGCTGAAATCAAAGCTCAAGGAGCAAAGGTTTCTTTAATAATTGATATCCCATATACATGGCTTTTTTAGATGGCAGCTTCATTTTATGCCTGTTCTCCTTAGGCACAGGTTGGTTTTGACAAAGAACTGAGTCTGAGTACACTGGTGTGTATGAATATTAATGCAGTGTCATTGTACCTTAGACTGCACATGAACTAGGCTGAAACCTTGACTTATTTAAGATAGAATCACACTCGTGTTCAACGCTCAGTGTCAATAGCCATTCAAGCACTACTCGGACCTATGGAGTCATACCCTCGTGGAATAGTGAAATCGTTCAGAATGCGAAGGTAAAGTGGAAAAACTCTTCAGCTGAATTCTGACCACCTCTCTACACAACTCCAGCATTATTTCTTTCCTTTTATGTTTGATAAAAGTTTGGCATCCATTAGCCTTTTTGATTGCTACGCTTGAAAATTAGCTTTTAATAAGTTATGTACCTGGACTTCTATATCCCTGTTCATCTTCCTCTTCCACAAGTGCTTTTCAATTAAGAAAGTACAGTATTTTCAAGTGTCACTTGCATCTAAAGGGCACTAACTACCTCATAAACCTCAATGTTGAACTGCAACTTAACCTGGCTATTTTGGTTTTAACTCTCTGCTGTCTTTCTTCATCATTCAAGACAGCCACTACCTTAATGTCATTTGCGAAACCAAATACATATTGATCAAATTTAAACATTGAGTCTATCTTCAAGTTCAAATTCGCAATATTGAAATCTGCAATTGCAGTTTTTACACAAACAGGTCTTGAGAGAGAGAAAGAGGTTAATGAAAGAGAAACTCCTCCTTTGGAATGCCAATACAACAAGATTTCATTTATAGAGCGCCTTTCACGTCGGGAGGACGTCCCAAGGCGCTGGACAGTTGGGTCAGGACCCGAGCATTGGGGGGAAATGGTCAGGGTGGAGGGAGGGAGCGAGAAGGGGGTAGAGAGTCGAGAGGGGAGCTGAAGGCACGGTTGAAGAGAATAATTATACAGACATGGAGAACGTGGGAAATCAAATGCCAAAACACTTTATTTAAACAAACAAAAGAATGCAGGATGACTAACTCTGCTAAATATCAAGACATTCTTCCCATTATTGCTGACTTAATGATCTACACATCTTGTTAAAAAAGTGTGTAAACTCATACAAAAGCCAACACATTTTGGAAGCCAAATCCAAGAACAGAACATTTGCATCAAACGATTCAATAAAATACAATCCAAACAGAACGTTTTGCATCTGGTCTAATAACTCGTACTCTTTTCCTTTGAATTCAGATTTATAGTGGGATTCACATTGAGAACTCAAAAACATGCACACAAGAATCTAAGATCACGAACACCCTCCAAACACTAAAGATAACTTTTTAAAGTTTCTTTTGGTGGGTTGCTAAAGGGATATGTAAACCCTCTTTGCAGTGCTGCCATTCAGATTCCCAGTGGCAGCACCGATGTACAAGTAACAACAATCCCACTATGAATCAGGACAGTTTCTCTTTCGCGAGAAACCAAGATCAACCTCAATGGGCTTCTCTTGGACATTTTTCCAACTGTAGAAAAGTTGATCACTCAGTTGATTACTCTCCCTGCCCCCATGTTTAAACAAACATCTTCAGAAATCAGGGAATATTCCAGGCTTCAAAAAATATTTTACAGGTGTTCAACTGCCTTGCTCCATTTACAACTCAGAGGAAAAATAGACAATAATTTCCCAGACTTCTGCTAACAAACTAACACCCGTTCTTGGAACAGCTGTTAAAAGGTGCTCAGGAGTTGTCTTGCTGCGAGTTTCTCCAGACTCCTTTGGAGCTGGAGGGAGACGTCCAAATCTCTGAAGACACTTTAGCAATCTATCTCTAATCTTAAAAAGTAAACTCGGGGTACGGTAAATTTACATTGAATGGTGGGGAGGGGGGAAACGCATCACCGCCTCGGAATTTGAGTAAACATTGACTTTTTAACAAGGTCACACATTGTAAACATGTGCAATACATCAACTATAATGTCTATTGTTTCTTTTCCATAACAATGCTGGTAGCCAGAGGGAACAACAGCAATGTTGATTTACCTCGCACTAACATTATAACTAAGGCAAGTTCCAGTCAAGGCCCAGCACTCCTTAAATTATATATTAAAAAAAAGCAGAGAATTACGATTCAAGTACATAACTGTTTGTAGTCGGATACCAAGTTATAGTTTAAGCATCACTATTATTCTTATACTAACCTTTAAATAAAAAAAAATCGAGAAACAAACACAAATTTGTATTTGTTGTAGTTAAGGGGATGAAATGAATCACGTAAATGAATGCAATACTGAACAGTGTTTTCTGAAGACAAAGGGTTTCCTTTTTCTGAAGATATCAAACATTCCTTCTCCTCGCTCAGGCTTTCTTAATTGGTCCTCATCAATTTCCCATCTAGCAATTACAAGACAATATCAATGATAGACACAAACCAAATCAACTTCAAAAAACATTCTTTCACCCAAAGCAGTTTCTAACTACGTTGCTTATCTTCTCTAGAATGGTAAACTCACTAAAACAAGAACGAAAGAAAATTGTTCCTTTAATACCACAAGTCGCGTCCAAATTGTCCTGCAGAAATCTTTATGGCTGGAATCCTAACAATGCATAAATAGGCACCCACAAAACATAGTCATTTCACTTCACAGTGATAAGGTGCTATATCAACAACAACTTGCACTTATATAGCGCCCTCCACGCAGTGTTAGCGTCTCAGAGCATTTAAAATCAAATATCAAATGCAATGATTATTATTATTATCACTGTACAGGCACAACTTACTTTTCTCTTCGCCATAGGTTTCCTAACATTGCTTCTTTATCAACGCAAAGTCTGCAGCTAGATTGACCTCGTCTAAATTAACCTCACCAGCCAGATCCAGGTTGCATTTCACCTATTAAAAATATAAACACATTTATTATTAATAATAATAGGCTTGCGAAAGTACATTTCACATCTGGAGGATTTCTTAAAACTCTTCACAGGGTTTACAGCAGGACAGTAAACCCCCGGCTCACGCATCTAGAATTTGAACCTAGCTGGACCGGGCTTGAAACATAAAAATTAAAAACATTTCCGCAGCCCCATGTGTAGACTCCCGCCAGCCCAACTCTCCTAGCGTACCATCGCCACACTGAGCAGCCTCGCTAGCCTTGCTGACCTTCACAATGGCCTTCATAAGGGATCTGAATTTTGACTCAATCATCTGAATCCTGTCAACATAAAATACCTTGTTCGCTATCTTCTGCTTGCGGCATGTACCGACATTGCAATTACATTTAGCTGGAAATTTCAGCTCATTAGGGCAGCTAGCTAGCTAAAGGGTATACCAACCGGCTAAGTGTACAGTGAATGTGTATGTTGTAGAGAAATGCTGTTGCCCATTCTGTACACAGCAAATCTTCAGAACCTCCAGACTCTGAGACGAAAATGCTACCAGCTTAGCCAGGTTGACACATGATTTATTACCAAGTGAACCACATGACAAGCGGCGCGTATTATTTTAAAGAATTAAAACTATTTCTATTAGAATAACCAAATGCTTTTGTCTGAAATACTTTGCTTGTTAGATAAATCCCAAACAGAGTATCCATTCTTGGATGCTCTTGAAAGGGCAAAACAATTCCTCAACACATTGCAAAGTACCTTGTGCAGCTCCTTTAGGTGAGTCTCTAGTTCTGTCTGTAGTGCAGTTTCAAAGAAACAGAGACGACACTTGTATGGTTTCAGTGGACTGTGAAAATTCAGATGACAGATCAGTTTGTCCTGACTATCTGTGATAAATGAGCACCGATCACAGCAGAATGCCTTCCCTGAAGGGAATTGCAGTATGTCAGGTTCATACTTTTCCAAAGAAGGCACACCTTTATCTGAAGACCAAAGCAAAAAGAAATGTCAAGTGCAGCATCGTAACATTGAAAGGGAAACGTATTGTACAACATTGTATTGAAAGGGAATTGTGCACACAAATGCTATATATCAAATATTGCAATTAAAGACATTTGTACACTTGCTGAGGGTTTAAAAAAACAGAACACTTAACGGACATGAATTCACAAATATAAACTTTACAATGTCACCAAGGAATCAAGTCCACAGGATTAAAATTCTCCAAACTCAAAGGATTCATTCTTCCTGTCTTGATTAATTTGAACTAATACCTGAAATAAAGATTATCCTAACCCAAAGTTACCCACATGGATCATAGGCTGCCAAGTGAAAGATTCAGGACTTAATGCACTTACAAAAATTCAGAAAGTGTATTTACACAAAGGACATATGTTTAGATCAAACACAATGTAGCCAGGCACTAATATATATTTAGATTAGCCATAATCATGAATATCACTTATTATTGCAGTTTACAATTAGTAAAACGTGATTAAAGGGGAAATAATGTTTTGGTGAAAGTCCCCCATATCTTATTGTTCTATAACCATTATAAAACTGAATTTTGCAATAAGAAGTTATGCCATATAAGTCCCTGATGTCTCGCATTGAAACGCCTCAAAGTGCTTCACAGAATAAACTGTAAAGTGGATAGACTGTGCATTTTGTGGGTGAAACCAGCAGTGTCCCATGAACAGTCATGGATCGAGTGACCAATTTTTTTTACCACGGAAAGCGATACACCATTAGACTAGAAACCGAGTTCCTACTTACTGCTAGGCAAACAGAGGCATGTGCAGTAAGGAAACTTATAGAACTTGTGTAAATTAGACTTAAGCACTAAACTTACTTTTGTGCTCCACAATGTGATTGACTAAGCTGTTTTTGTGCTTAGTGTTGTAAAGGCACAAAGGACACCGAAGTGTTTCAGACGCTCCCTCATTTGAAGCTAAGCCAGATAGAACTGCACACTCTTTTCCTTGGACACGACAATCTTCCACAAGAATATCTCGGTCTATTTTCTCTGTGGAAAATCTCTGCATACCCACTGCCAGTTTACATAATCCTGCATGCTGAGAAAGGGCATTCCTAAAAATAATTGAAAGAATTTATAAATTTTGAAATAACATAGGAAAGCAAATAAAATTAAACTTCCCCTTTATTAAAAAAAATATGGTTCAGAGAATATAATTCCAAGTAGTCCTTGGAACTGCAAAGCATGTCACATAGTATTAGGGGAAGCACTTGTAATCAATTTGCAAAGGCCGGAAATCTAAAGAGCGTTCTGTATGGGATATCACTGAGTGTAGTTGTGATTAACTTAATATTAATGGAAGACATTACTCTTGCTAAACCTGGCTTAACTGAATAGCATTATCCCCACTATCAGTTAGCAATGTCATTCAACAGTTACATAACCTCGTTCGCCATGCAACATGATCATCTGCTGCCTCACTGCTTCTGCTCCTTGAAAAGGGATATTTACGCCTTATTTGTGTTCTCTTAATTAATGAAGTTCTCAAAGAAACTTACTTTTTGCCACTAAAAAAAGAACACTTTCTGCATTCGAAATACGGATATTCGCAGTGCACTCTACTATAATGATTCTTCATATCCTGGAATCTATAAGTGATAAAGTCACAGAATTCACATGAATAGCTCTCAACTGATATTGGTGGGCTTCTCTGTGCTTCTAATCCCAGCTCAGCGGTCTGACCATATGACTCTAGGATATCCTGTTGAAACTCCAAGAAGACATTCTCTGAAATAACACAAAATAACATTCAAATTAATTTAACAGTTGATAGCTAGGTGAAAAAAAAATGTTTTATCCACAACTTCAACAACGCCAGACTTAACTTCTCCAAAATCTTGTTCACAAATTCCCAGCTCTATACCCTCCGCAAGCACTATACCATCCAGGACTCTACTGTCCACATTCTTTCCTGCACAAGGCTCTGCAAGTCCATCATCCCTGTTATCGTTAGGCTCCATTGGCTCTCCATCCCCCAGTAGATCTACTAAGGTCCACATTCTTGCTTTCAAATGCAACATTGCCTTGCCCCACCGTATGTCTGATTTCCTGGAGTCCCATTCCTCCACCCACTCCCTCAACCAATTCTGGCTTGCTTCACATCTCCTACCCCTATCAGTGAAGGAGACACTTGCTCTCTGTAACTCTCTCCTAAATCTCTTCACATCACTCCCTCCCTCTTTGGTTTCAAAACCAGTCTAAAGTCCTTTTGACTGTGCCTTCAGACACCTCTTGCCGTAACACCCCCATCTCCAATCTCAGACTCCCACTCAGTCTCTGTAAAGTGCTTTGAGATGTTCTCCTCAATTAAAATGCAAATTGTTGGTGCTGTGTGGTGGAATGGTGATAGAGTTTAAAAAAGTTCTTAAGTTCTTTATGACATTCTATAAAGAGGGAATAAAGCTCAACTTCCCAATTTCTAGGATTTTTTTTAAAAAAGGATATTACGTGACACAGTTTAAGTGCATCACACTCTCTTCTAAAATGTGGATATGATAGTTACAGGCTAACTTTTCTTTGCCATCCATAAAGAGAACCCTTACCATCATATGTTTGGTATAAACATTCCCCACTTCCTTTGGCATCTGAGACTGAAGCACGTAATTTGGGCATGAGGAATCTTCCATGTACTTTGAGAGAATGGGACCTTAATTGTTCTATCAGTGAAGTAGAATAAGAACACCTGGGACATCTGTAACGTCTACCCTCTGTAACACAATTATACAGAAATTTTGTTTCTATAAAAAACATACATTTATTCATAACTTAATCTCCTAGTTAGGTTAACATTCCATTCCACTAAATATAGCAGACCGTTGCAAATACTTGTTTGAGATGCAAAAGAAAAAAGTGCTGGAAAAACAGCTACTGATCATCTATATTTCACTCACAAAATATACAGTTAATTCACTTAGCAGTATATTCTGTGAATTACTTTGAGATGTCTCAAAGATGTGATAAGGCATTATATCAAATGCAAGGATTATTATATCTAGTATAAACATAGTAGGTGTAGTAGTTATTTCCAAATAAAAATACTAAATACATTCCCCTGAAGGGTCAACCCTTTTCTTCAGGATGATAGATTCTGGCAATAGTGACAACAATGTGATGACTTATTGTAGTAGTACCTGAGCTAGCATGCTGGTTTACATTCTTCAATTTGCTCTTGCAGTTTTGACTGAAAATAAAAATAAAATTAAGCACTTAGTGGATTTTTTTAAGCCACGTAATGACTTTTCTCTGCTGTCTCTTAATATACAATAGCGAAACATCATTTTCAATAATTTCTACTTCCTATAAATAAAAAAAATAAACCAATGCAAGATCAGGCTGTTAAGTTTTCCAACATCAATATGCTAGATTTATTACAGAAACATTCTATTCTATACTACGATCAGTCACAATAATGAACCAGTGTAAATTGTGCATACACTACCACAAACTGAAGCAGCAAAGGTTTGCGTGAATTACCAAATTACCTGTTCAAACTCTGGCTAACATCTCTGCTGTGCCATGTTTTGGACACAAAGTGAGTCTTTTCATGGGTACGTAGTCCTGACAGTGCTTTGAACAGGCGCCCACAGTGATCACAGCGGTACCCTTCCACCATGGTACTAGGCTCCATTTTAATATCAGAATATTTTTCCTGCACCTTGGTAACCTGCTCTCCACTCAACATCTTACCTGCTGGAATCCTAACCTGAGACTGGACATAAATAGAATGGATTACTTTGAGTATTCAGTCAAAAAACATTTTTTTTAAAAGTACAATACAAAATCTGGACTTTGTACAACCGAGAACTTATTTAAGAAAGTAAATTTCTCACCTAAGCAGCAATCATTCTTCAAAAATGTCATACACCTCATAAATCAGTAGGCACTATATCAAACCTGAGGGTTGAGATTAGAAGAGGTGGCAAAAGAGAAGGCTAGGGACAGTAACTTGTCTCCTTAGAAGTTTTCAGGAATAACCGCACAAACATCAGAGCTTTATGGTCAGTCAGTGAATATGTGTATATATTCAACTCACGTATATACTCAAAAATGGATAGAAAAAGCAAGAATAACCTCTCATTGCCTAATACCCTATTATAAATTCCAGGATAGACACTACAGTGACTGTTTGGTTAGGACAGTTTTGTTTACAGTGCAAATATGAAACAAAATCTTGATATTGAAGAAAAACATATTAATTTGACCTTCTAGGAATTAAGGAATTTGCTAAAATTTGTTTGACGAGGTGTTCAGAAATAGAGCAAGGCAGTAAGAAAACATGGCAAATAGGTGCTTACTGGACTCCATTCTCAAATCTATTGAGTTAGGTTGCAGAAGACATGCTCAAGCTTTAACTGATCTAGGTAGGCTGCACCTGGATTAAATCAAGTAAAACCAGGTAGAATTTCTTCCCTTTACTAACTGAATGCCTCAAAAAGGGCAAGGTACAAAGGAATATAAAACAAAAGATAAGGACTTCAGCTCATTTCACAAATTCATAATTATAGTACTACCTGCTATAACAGCAAAATAATAAATACGTCAAAATCTATATTTTATTTCACGAAAAGTTCAAAATTACTGAGATTGAAAGTACACCACTTTAATGTTTTTTTAATAGCAGCTCCACAAATGCACAAATGAGACCCCCAAAAATTTCAGGTTAAATACAACATTAAGCTAAGCAGAAGGTTCAATTTCCGACTATAAAGTTATATTCAAAACAAAAATTATTTGATTTGACAACTGTGACAAAACTAAAAATTTTCTGTACCAGACATGCAATCTTGAACTCTACTTTTATGTTTGATGTATTTTCTTGAAGGATTCAGAAATTGCACAGAAATTGTCCCTGGAGTCAACTCTGTGTCTTTTTGACATTGTATTTGCAGATTCTGAGTACCAGTCTTGATCTCCCTAATGAAATGAGAATTTCACCACTTCAACTGGATTTAAATCCATTAAGGAATTGTCAATTCTCCTTTTATAATGACTAGGGGTATTATTCTGATGACTAAAGTGCTCTGCAACCTGCACTGGTTTAACCAAGCTTTCAGCTCCATTACTCCCAATCAATGCATTGCTTTTGCCAAAGGTTAAATTCCTCTTGGTCATATCCCAATTCAATACAAAGTTTTGATATTCATTTCCTCGAGAAGTAATCTTTCCATAATAATGCTTCTCGAGATTAGTTTTATGTAAGTTTGTAACATTTTTACACTCAATGATGCACCTATTTTGGGAAAAAAACATAGGGTGTCATAATTTGTAATGGAAGGAAAGTTCTTTTTGATTAATGGTCTTAAATGTGCACAACATACATACGTTTTTCTATAGCAGCTTTCAGATCTTCACTGCAGGGTACTGATGATATTTTTGAGTCAATATCACCAATCTTCAAGCAAGGGAGCCAGAATGTAGCTCAACGTCATGGTACATGACATAGTGATTAAGAAGCCGTTTCCGAATTAAATTTATGTATAGACAAATAAGCATACTTAAAAACAGTATCAGAGCCTAACTTGAGCAGATGCAACAACACTCTGCCTGAGACAATAATGCCTACAAATAACTCGCCTTGATGAGCATGTAAAATTACAGACCTGGTATTGAAATATTCCTTGTGGTGCACTGCAAGACAGAAATGAAGATTCCAATGGTGTCTTGACTCGCAAAACATCACAAGATTCACTCTCCAATGTTTTCTGAAAAAATGTTTTGCCTACTTTTCTACATGTTTGTTGTTTTTGGCAATGATCAAACACGGAAATGGATTCTCCATTTGCTGAGCGCTGTTTGCAGAAATACAGCTCGGAAATTTCTTCAGAACAAGATGCATCTACTTCAGGAAAATCTGAATCTAATGTAGACATGGTGTTTATGAACGTTGGCAAAACTCTCTCCGTTTTTACATTCAGCATACGACTATATTTTCGAATCCTGCTACTGGAAATATTTTTTTCAGGATGTTGTTTACCGTAGTGTGAAAGAAGATACATAAAATTAGAACTTTCAAAATGACAAGTATCACACTGATATAGTGCAGTATAGATATTCCGTGGTTCCTTTTGTACACTTGACTGAAGACTCAGATTTTTGCTTTCATCTTGGGTTAACTTCAGAGATGTTTTGTTTGATCCATTGTCTCCAGAAGTCTGTGGCCATGTCTGTATAGCATCAGGCTCATCTCCAGACAACACCACTTCAACTTCAGGTATTCTACTAGGAACAAAAACTTCTCCATCATTGTTATAATCGAAACATTCTGCCGCTCTTTCAATCTTCTGCTGGTTTAAGAAGTTGTATGCCTCCATCAACCCCTTGGCCTGCTCCTCCTTGGTTATCCTACAGTATGGGATACTATGTCTGGGGTTTGTATTTTGATTATTCAGGACGGTGACTGCTGGTTTGCATTTGATTAATGTGGTTCGACTTTTCAATTTGTTTACTATAGTTTCTAAAGCTAGGCGTTTACTAGATGTAAGTGACCCTTTAACAACAGCATCATCAATTGTGATCTTATTGTGTGAAGAATGTAACGAAGTATCCACATTTTGTACAGACACTCTTGAGTTTGACTTCATATCTGAATCAGTTGCTGAAAGGCAAGACACTAACATTACTTGCTCAGTATTTTGCTGAGCCAAGGATGACTCACAGGTTGAACTTGTGTGCTGTTTAATTATACAGATGCTTGATCCAGGTGAATGTTGCCAACTAGGGCAAGACAACTGCTTCTCAATCTTTGATGTCAAATTTGCGATTTCATCCGTGGTAGTACATTGTTTTATTGTAGTAAAGTCGGTTTGTTCTATGGATAATGTCTTGCTTTGTGTGCTCTCCTTTTTTGCAGCATGTTCAGTTGTACCGGGCTTTGGTCTTCTTATGCTACAAGAAACATTGCAACATTTACGTTTACGACTTCCAATTGGACTGACATGCACATTTCTGACATGGCGTAAGACACATCGACGGTACCAAGTATAAAATGGACAAAGAATGCAATGAAACATATTCAATTTTATGTAAAATATATCTATTTTCTTTTTAACTTTTAATATTCTTCGCTTGTTTTTTGGCCCAATATTAGATTGCCCTTGAGACGACGCTGATGGGTTTTCTAGTTTACTCTCATATATTTTTGAGATTATATCCATATTAGGTTTTCTAACCGCATTTTCACCTTCAACACATTCACGTTTTCTTACTAATACATCTTCATTCTGAGGAAGCTTCTGCTCACACTCAAACAAATTCATATCAGAATTCACGTCATTCTCCACACATCTTGAGCAATTCAACTCCACTGGGGACCTTGGTGCATCTTTCCCAAATTGAACACAATTATGCAGTTCCTTTGTATGATCTTCAAAGCACTGTTTATTAAATGTGCAATATCCACGTTCCATACAGCATAGTCTCTCACCAGTCCTGGTTGCTGTTTTTCCATCTACGTCTAGCCCAGTCCCACTAATAGGAGCTTTAGTTATTTCATCAGGAATATTCTTTTTGGATGTACTTTTCTGGATTCCATCCGTAGTAAGAAAAAACAAATCTTCAGTCCATTCTGTTTCCTCAGTCATTTCCAAAAGAGTTTCATTAAACTTTGAGTTATCCAAATATTCTGTGTCCAGTTCAATACTACTTTTCAAACACGAAGCAACACTAATATTGTCGTTGAGCAGAGAACTATCCAGCTCAGAATTCTCAAAGGATAGGCACTCAATAGTTTCATTATCATGTGACATACGGCACACATCCATCACGTGGTCACTCACGTTGGGGCTAGAGGTACAAATGGAAACAGCAACTTTGTTTGAATCTTTTGGAGACCCTAACTTTCCAACAGACTTGCAGCAAACATTCATGGTACTACTGTCCATTTCATATCCAAGTTCATCATGGTAATAATCACGGTCGATTTGGAAACTATCAAAGTGACTGATGGCAGCTGGGTTCATTTTGACATTGAATCAAATTCTCAATAAAGGCACAGCAATTCCAATGGGTCACGCTTATCCTACATACAAAGAGAATTGGATTATCATAATATTATGAGCTACTGCATTACCAACAGTCTCAGATAAATAAAATATAACAAAATTAAGTTTATAGAACGCCTTTCATGTCGGGAGGACATCCCAAGGCGCTGGACAGTCAGGGGTCAGGACCCGAGCATGGGGGAGGGGTGGGGTAAGGGAAGGCAGAGAGGTGGGAGGGGGACTGAAGGCACGATCGAAGAGGAGGATCTTGAGACTAGTCTTGAAGGAGACAACGGAGGAAGCGAGGCGAAGGGACTGTGGGATGGAATTCCAGAGAGTGGGGGCAGAGAGGATGAAAGCCCAGGCACCAATGGTAGGGTGGGTCGGGCTGGAGACGTGGAGCAGACCGGAGCCGCTGAGCAGAGGGAGTGGGCAGGTTGATAGCGAGTTAGTAGGTCAGAGAGGTAGGAGGGGGCAAGGCCATGGAAAGCCTTGAAAGTGAGGACGAGGATTTTGAATTCGATCCTCTGGGGAATGGGGAGCCAGTGGAGTCAGGCGAAGGTGGGAGTGATGGGGTCACGGAGCCAGGTGCAGGAGAGTACACGAGCTGCAGAGTTTTGGATGATCTGCAGCTTGTGAAGGGAAGAGTTGGGAAGGCCGATGAGGAGGGAGTTTCCATAATCGAGCCTTGATGTGACAAATACATGGGTGAGGGTTTCGTCAGCGGTGGAGTCTGGCAATGTTGCGGAGGTGGTGGTAGGTAGTGCCCGGTCATGGCATGGATATGGGGGAGAAAGGACAGTTCAGGGTCAAACAAGATACCCAGGTTCCTGACTGGCTTAGTGAGGTTGAGTGTACAGCCGTGGAGGCTGATGCTGCTAGCGCCGAGGTGCGGAGGCGCTGCGCCAATCAGGAGGGCCTCAGTCTTGCTGACGTTCAGTTGGAGAAAGTTGTCCCTCGTCCAACACTTGATGACCTAAATAACACAGTAATAATGCCCCTCATCACAATTTTCATATTATTTTTCAATAAATATTGAAAATATAAGTAGTTGCAAACGAATTGAATGGATTAACCAACTGGGTAGAGTTCATTTAATCTTTCAAGAAATGGCAAATACATTAACCCATTTAGGCCACTGATTTTGTTGAGTAAAAATAAGATTGCCCTGACTGCATCCAATTTCGAAAACCATTTTCCCCCTCCAAAATGGGAGACATTTTCAGACCATATAGTTTTCTAAGTGACATGACCCATATGACACTTTAATAGGCCATTCAGCCCAATCTTGAAAACGTGATAAGGCGCTATATCAAATGCAGATTATTATTATTAATCCATGCCATTGTTTATACTTCACAAGCTCCCCACCACTCCTATACCATTTCTATTCCCTTTCTATTCCCTTGTCTGCATCGAGTGCTCTTAAATACGTTTAATTTTTTTGCTTCAAACCAAGCATCCATCAGCGAGTTCCACATTATCACCAAACTGCTTGAAGAAGTCCCCCTAAATTTCTTATTCTTAGACCTACCCCTCAACAATTTCTAGAAGAGGTTTATTAAGTTTTGGGTCACCCAGATCAATTGCATCCGGTTCAATAGATTTTGAACTATGTTTTAGGGTAGGAGTAAAAACATTAGAAATCTATCAACCTCTATATTAATAAAATAGTAATAATAATAATAATAATAATCCTTGCAATTGATATAGCGCTTTTCACGTCGGGAGGACGTCCCAAAGCGCTTCACAGAACACACTGTAAAGTGAATTGACTGTATATTTGTGGGCGAACGCGGCAGCCAATTGCGCACAGCAATGTCCCACAAACAGTCGTAGATTGAAAATGACCAATTTTATTATTGTTTTTGGTTTTTGGAGGGATTATTATTAGGCTCTGTGTGGAGTAAGGAAACTTGCCCAAGGTTTCGCCCTGACCTGCCTGGAATTGAACTCAGGTCTCTCACTTGCAAAGCGAGTGCTCTAACCACTGAGCTACAGGACTCCACAGAGTAGAAAGATAATGGGAAATAAGATAATCGGAAAAGCTATCAAACCATGGTTGAAGCACAGTCCATCACAATCTTACAGAACACATTTCAAATAAATGACTTTAAAATATCATTATGGAGTCAAGGGGTCTAATTTCTGAGCCTTTCCGCCTAAGATTCAGGAACAAAATGCGACATGTGACAATCCAATGCCGGGGACGTGCTGCATCGTCAGAGGCGCTGTCCTTCGGATGAGATGTTAAATTAAGGTCCAATCTGCCCGATCGGGTGCCCGATCACTGCTCAAAATGAAAGGAGTTTCTCTCAGTGTCCTTGATCAATAATTTCCCGATAGAATTAGTCACTCAAGGCTGTTGGTGGGACATCGCTGCGCGCAAATTCGTTCCTCTGTGCACCTACAAATATGCAGCCACCAGACTCTACAGTAAATCCTGTGAAGCGCTTCGAGGCATTTTGACAATGTGCGAAAGCGCAGGATCAAATGCAAGGATGAATGCCAACGGGATGACCAGCCGACTCAATTAATTTGAATTGAGGGGGGGGGGGGGGGGGGTGGGGGCGACTCAGGAATTAAAACGTTCAGCAATCCTTAAGAGACACCCCACATAAAGGTGACAGCCTACCCTTCACAGGAATATAGATTTTCAAAATTTTCTTATAAGACAGAAAATAAGCTTACTCTTCTCTGCCTTTACCTCGTGGGTGGGGGGTGGGCGATGAGTGGGGTTGGGGGGGTGGCGATGAGTGGGGTTGGGGGGGTGGGCGATGAGTGGGGTTGGGGGGGTGGGCGATGAGTGGGGTTGGGGGGTGGGCGATGAGTGGGGTTGGGGGGGTGGGCGATGAGTGGGGTTGGGGGGGGTGGGCGATGAGTGGGGTTGGGGGGTGGGCGATGAGTGGGGTTGGGGGGGTGGGCGATGAGTGGGGTTGGGGTTGGGCGATGAGTGGGGTTGGGGGCGAGGTGGGCGATGAGTGGGGTTGGGGGGGTGGGCGATGAGTGGGGTTGGGGGGGGTGGGCGATGAGTGGGGTTGGGGTGGGCGATGAGTGGGGTTGGGGGGGGCGATGAGTGGGGTTGGGGGGGTGGGCGATGAGTGGGGGGGGTGGGCGATGAGTGGGGTTGGGGGGTGGGCGATGAGTGGGTTGGGGGGTGGGCGATGAGTGGGTTGGGGGAGGTGGGCGATGAGTGAGGTTGGGGGGGGAGGTGGGCGATGAGTGGGGTTGGGGGGGAGGTGGGCGATGAGTGGGTGGTCGGTGGGTGGGGATGGGGGAGTCACTGAAAGGCAGCCATGAGGAAAACCAGGGCCGAGGAAGGCGTCACCAACCTACGACATCCAAGCAGGAAGGACAGAGAAGGGGCAACTAATTGTACGCGATTTGACTTGGCTTTTTTCTTTTCTGCTGAACACACACACACTCGCAGCCCGGGCGCGTCAAACGCCCTCTCGGCTCCGGCTCCAGGTCCGGGGCCGCCGTCCGCCCGCTCCTCCGGGCGCCATTTTTCTTTCGCCGTTTTTCAAATTACGTCACGCCTCGCTCCAAACCGCCGCCGCCCAACGGCCGCCGGTCCTGAGCGACAGGCCCGCGGCCAATCAGAGGTCGAGGCCTCGGGCATCCGGCCGTCGGGAGACCAATCAGCGCGGTGGGCGGGACCCCCCCGCTGGAAGGGCGGGAAAAGGCGGCCCCGTCCGATCCGGTCGTCCGCGCGACGCGCCTTCGCCTTCGCCTTCAACTGCCGATCAAAGGTGCACATTCCTGCTTTTAGGCAAATATATAACACGCAAAGGTTTTTTTATTAGTATTATTCAAGTCCTGCATTCAGACCAGGCTTTCGTTCATCCTTCTCCCGCCCTCGCTTGCAGCTCGGGTGCCCGGCCATTACCGTTAAGCGCTTTGGGACGTCCTCCTGACCTGAACGGCGCAGATGATGATAATAATAATAATGATAATAATAGTCCTTGCATTTGATACAGCGCCTTATCAATCACGTCTCCGAGACGCCTCAAAGAATACGCCGTGAAGCGAACTGATTATATTTCGTGGGCGAAACGCGGCGGCCGATCGATTGCCCACAGCAGCGCCCCCACAAGCGGTCGTGGATTGAGTGACCAAATTATTATTTATTTTCGAAGGAGTTATTATTACCCCCCGCCCCCCCGTACCCCCGGGAAAGCGATCCAATTTATTCCCAGATGACCGACGGTCACGGAGCAAAATTTCGCAGAGTGTTGCTTAAACGCGGAATATGCAGGAGACTCTTATTGGGAAGTAATCACCAATATATTTTGCCTCCGACTGAGATGAGCTTCATCTCAAAGATTGGTTCATGATTGGTCGCATTACGTTGCATCAGTTTTATTCGGAAGACCACAAGTATAACATTTCATACATTGTAGTTCTTACCATGTCTTGAGTATGTCCGCATTGTCGTGTGAAAAGAATGACTGATAAACTGATAAAATATGAAGAGGTTTCATCACAAGAAGGAAAATAGCTTTTAATTCACAAAGGCACATCAATATATTATACGTTTCTGGTATTGGCAATTTTAGGGAGTAATCTTGGTACAAACTATTATACTTCATATTGTACAGTAAACATTTTTAGGGCTTGATTCTCAAATATTGTGTTCTGTTGTAAATTCATTTTATTTTACACAAAGGTTATCTTATTCTCAAATGGCTGGAACTCTGCTACTTGTTCGTTCTGCGGTTAAATAATACACACCTTCGAAGCTATGATGTGAAAGGGCTCTTTGCCCAACTGAGTGATTGCTTAGGTGTCAGTGAATAGTAGATATGAGCACCTAAGTGGAAACTAAAAATTTATATTACGTTGAAAATAATATGGAAAATGTATGTCAGCCACTGCCCTGAAGATGCTGTCATTTTTTTGTGTATAAAAACAGGAGTATATGAAAAAGAACTGGCCACTTAAATCGTTACAAAAATCAGCGACTTTTTAAATTCATTTTTGGTATTTTCAACCAATTCCAGAGTACAAGAGAGATTTGGATAAAGAAGACCTTTCAGGTCATCCATGTCCTCTAGTCCCAAGTTCTTTGCGAAACAGCATCCTTTGGTTGAGAGAGAGAATAGGTCTGAGAGATTAACTGGCTCACAGGTCTTTGCCATTTTACTTTTCAACCAACCACCATTAATTAGTGTAAGGGCAAACAATTAAAACTCTTTTAGTTAGGAAAAGTGCATAGTTGCCTATGGTATCATGAGATGTGAGGAGTTTTGAGCATGGATTGTGCTGCACTTAAGATATCACTGTCATTACTCTTGTAATTTCACTCCTGTTTCTTTTTCCTGTAAATTTAGTTATATCAGTCATCAAAATCCATCTGATTCCATTGTGAGTAACACAATCCTCCCCACCTACAAACATTTCCAAGCCAAACGTGGTATAAGAAGAAAATACTAATACTGAATATTAATCTGAATATACTAATTTGAAATAACATACTATTAACAAAAACAGCTTCTAGGTATTTTGGGAATTGTGCTGTGTGTACGGCCACTTATGTGTAAGGATTGGCACAAGGCACTTTGGGGTCCTAATGTGCCTATATATCAATGCTTTTCAGTTTATGGAGCCCAAAGTGAGCCAGTTTCAGTATCTGCTGTGAATCCAAGTGGCAAAATGCAGGCAGTATAATAGTTCCATTCCATTTTGCCTCTAACTGGTTATTTGCATTTTGATTTTCCTGTGTGTAATGCTTAGTATTGAAGAATTAAACTTAACTTTGTAAACAGTGACAACATGATACCCACTGATATAGGAGATTCCTTCTAACATAGTTCCACAATTATGCCTCAAATATTTTCACATCAGAACATCCGTGATGAATATTTCCATTTACTTATACACACTATATCCAGATGGCCTCTTTGAGAGACACTGACAAATCTGTGACAGTGAGAGTACTTATCTGCCTTTTCTCACTAGGATTTGAGATTGGTAACACTCTTTCAATACCAGTCGCATTCCTAGGATGGGCAGATTAACCAGCATTTGTTCACACTTTTCCTTTCCATTTAATGAGACAGACAAGCTCAAACGCAAATCTTAGAATAGTGTATGAGTACAATTATGTCCATTTTCCTCATAGTCAGATTACTTTAAATCCTGAAATTGCACTTTGATGAGATCTTTCAACACATATTAGCAACTGTCTTGGGAGTCGCGCTATTTATTCAACTTTTTTGGTCTTCTTCTTCCTTGTCCCTTCGTTCAGTTCCTCCTTTGACTTGGCCGTATATGGAGATATGCTGGAAGGGGAATAACTTTGTGAAGTTTCACGGGAGTGGCTATGCTCATGTTCATCGGAGGTAAAGGATGCAGCGCCAAAGAGGATGGGGCAGATAACAGCTTCAATTGGAGCAAATGGTGATCCATGCGAATGTCTTGCTGTCATGAATACCTAAAACAGTATAAAACAAAATATTAATATCGGATTAAATCTCTTTCATTTACTCGACGTGAAAGGCACTATACAAATGTAATTTTGTTTGTTGTAGTACAGACGCTACCCTGCGTGGAAGGTGCTATATAAGTGCAAGTTGTTGTACAGATTTTGCTGAGCCAATTTCCTAGACATTTGCAATATTTATATACGCTGTCAGTACAGTTCTGGTTGCTCTTTGACTTTGGATGTTTTAGTTTTGACTGATCTTGACAATTTTTTAAAATATAATTTTACTGACTCATCATAACAAATGCAAGGGAAATATTGATATTAATATATAAATATTGTTGAAACATTGTATTGCTATTCAGTTTCTGCCTTCTACATATTATGGAATAGATTAGAATGTATTGGTGTCTGTGGTATGAATTAATATTTATAGTAATCCTGTACTGGGATGTATTCGTGTAGGTGGTAGTTCTTTACTGGAATATATATATATATCCTGAAATTTGAAACAGCAAATGAATTGCAGATGTTGGCTGATTATCAGGTATTTTTCTCCTTTTCTCTCTACTTGTTCCAGTAGCAAAACCCAGGGTGCGACTCTCCCTTTGATTTTTCATCCCTTTCTTTGGGGTGACATCAAGACATTAGTCTATGGCATCCCATCTATGGCATAGCTCAGATCAGAATCCCAACAATGTATGTGAATCATCTACCTCGACTAAAAAAAATCAATCCCAACTCAATCAACTGACACAATTTTGCCCATCTCTACCAGTACAGTACTGAGCACTAGAATTCATGACCATGTAATTGCGAAACAGATACCTCACTACATCCGCTATTGAGTGCCACTTAATAATAACAAAAATAATAATCCTTGCATTTGATATAGCGAATTCCCTTAACTCCTGACTGATGATAAATAATTGTTGCCTGATTTACCTTAGTGACAACCATGAAGGCAGTGAAAAGGAAGACGATGTTATGTTTAGAGATGGGTAGCCAGCGAGCCTGCTGTAACGTGAAGAGAACTGCTCCAACCAGACTGGCCTTTGTTGGGCTGCAAAAGGTAAAGATAAAACTGTAGTTATCACATTATTCCACCCTGTCATCAAATGTACAATGTTCTACATTGCACAATAGCTTTTTTGTGAGGGAACAAAATGCTTTTACTTTTTTTCCTAATCCAGGGATAATAATAATAATCCTTGCATTTGATATAGTGCCTTAGCACGTCTTTGAGACATCTCAAAGCGATTCACACAATATACTGTAAAGTGAATTGACTATATTTTGTGGGCAAAATGCAGCAGCCAATTGCACACAGCAGTGTCCCACACACAATCATGGATTGAATGACCAAATTTGTATTATTTATTTGTTTGTGAAGGAAATCAAACCCAGGTCCTCTCGCTTGCGAGGCGAGTGCTCTAACAACTAAGCTATAGGACTCCACAATGATCAATAGTTCAGAGTTATTCCAAAACCTACTAAATATGGGATATATAAGTTTCTATAGTCTCCATGTAGCATCCATTAATTCTGGTCTTCAAGCAGCTCCAAAGAGAATGGTTGTGCAGCTCCTTCCAATCTTCTTTCCCTTTGAAGAGTGACCTGGCAAATCCTCAATATCTCTTGTTCAATATGGGAGTTTAATGGAATGGAAAGGGGTTAAACCTGAATCTTTCAATTTATGGTGCCATTTGCTACATCCATGGATAGCAACATTGATATTCAATTTGTGGATTACATTATTCATAGCTTCATCCACAATCCCAACCTGTCAATCTGCTTCAGCAGTTTCTGAGCTGCAAAACCAACTGACTGGTAGTGCTGCTATACTGATCCAACTATTGATTGTGCTATATGTGGCATACTCCTCAGATTCTCTAACTTAAATTCCTCCAATATCACTTTTTAGGTGCTACTCCAAGGTACCTGACCCTCCACTCAGCGGGCTCCGGCTTGCTTTATGTCCTCTGCCTTGCCTGCCCCACCATTGGTGGGCGGGCCTTCAGCCTCTCTGCCCCCATCCTCTCAAACTCCATCCCAGCCCCTCTGCCTCTCCCCCTCTGTTGCCTCCCTTGAAACCCGTCTTAAGACCCTCCTCTTCGACCCTTCATTCGGTCACCCTCCTACCCACACCCTCTCTGCCCTCCACCCCTCCTGAACCCAACCACCAGCTCGGGTGCAGATCTCTGACTGTCCAGGGCCTTGCGACGTCCTCCTGACCTGAAAGGCATGATACAAATGTAATTTGTTGTTGTTGTCTCCTTCCTGGCTTCTGGACTCCAATGCCCATGTCAGCAATGGGGAGAACTCAATAGTGTTATGCAATCTTTGGGCCACATCCCGTGTCTCAGCCAGGTCTCGGGATTCCGAATTCAAATACATACTGAACCACACCAGGCAGATATTTGATGTTAAAATTCTTCAGTACTTAAAACTGTTGTTATTTCTCTCCTGCACACCTCTACCATGCTACAATTTTTACTTACAAAGACATGTTGAGGAATTCATTTGTTTCTGGTTTCCAGACTCCACGAACTAACTGTTCAAAGTTGGAGATTAATGCAACTCCAGCGCCTGCAAGGAACACAGAGCAAGTGATTGACAAGACACAAACCTCAATTATTTTACTATCACCAGTCATTCCTCTGAGATCTTTACAAATGGCATTGTACAGATTCAGCAATCCCTGATGCCAAAAGCATTCCAATTTCCACCGATGCAGCAAAGCAAACAATCAGACTATCATTCCCAGCATTTCTTGATACTTGAAGCTTAGAATGCCAAGTATACATTTGGAATGTATTGTGATATAAACTTTAACGTCTTCCGATGAATTATTTCCAGGCTCCTGTAGCATAGAAACAAACAATGGTTCTGCTATTCTACTTTGAAGCACACTTTTGGCATTTAGACATACCTGGATTCACTAGTAATAATAATACTAATAATCCTTGCATTTGATATAGCGCTTTATCGCATCTTTGAGACGTCTCAAAAAATATAGTGTAAATTGAAATGACTGTATATTTTGTGGGTGAAACTAATTTTATTAAAGGTAGTTTAGGCAGCGCTTTCTTCTTTAGTAAGCAAGCAGACTGGTCTGTGAAAAGGAGTTCATCTCAACTAAGGCTTACCTTTGGCCCATCCAACCAAGGCCATGATGATCCATCCATGGTGATAGGCATGATGAGCATGTACAACGCCTACACTAATTTTACGGACCCGCACCACCTCCTTCATAGCGACAAGGACCAATTTCACAGGCATGAAAGACACACACTTGTAGAATAAATTGAGTGGACAATAAAAAGTGAGGTACCTAAACAGAAAAACAAGGGATCAGTTTGTGAATATTTATTTCATCGTATACCATTGTTTAAAAAAGTATAATCTAAGAAGCAGTTTCCAATAATAATAATCCTTGCATTTGATATAGTGCCTTATCACATCATTGAGACGTATCAAATTGTTTCACAGAATACATTGCAAAGTGAATTGACTATACTTTTGTGGACAAAAAGCAGCAGCCAATTGCACACAGCAGTGTCCCACAAACAGTCGTGGATTGAGATACCAAATTATTATCATTTTTGTACTATCTGAGCATTACAATGATAATAAGTGTATCAACAAGTTTCAAGCGATTCACAGCACTAAACTTCTTTGGATTTTGTCCAAACTGAAGTCCTTCCTCAGCAATAATCTTTGATACTTTCAAATTAAAGATTTTGGAAGTCAAAATCTAGGTTCACTCACCAGACAGCTGTTGCCAGCAGGATGTGGGAAGTGTTGCTAAAATATTGGAGAGGAGATTCCCCGAGTAGAACATCTGCCATTATATAACTGGCAAAGCAGTAAAGCATCGCACTCATCCATGAGGCAATTGGACTTCGCCTGGACACTTCCACTGCACCTGAAAAAGAACACAGGCCAGTCATACACTTTACCTTTCAAATGGTTAATATAATGTATATTAATCGTCTACTTGCATTTATATAGCGCTCTTCACCCAGGTCAGCATCTCATCGCGCTCAACAGGCCATGAAAGGATTTGTAGTTGAGTGTGGGTATTCTGAAGTTGATCCATTCTGTGATAGGGAGGCAGTGGAGCTTGGCAAGGACTGGTGCGATGGGGATACAGAGTTTAGAGTATACATGCATTGGAGTTTTGAATTAGTTGGATTTTGTGGAAAGTGAAGCTGGGGAGACCCCTCCAGGGAAGCAATGATCCCTTGCTCAGGTCTTGCTTTCTGACATTACTTTTGTGCTTGAGAACTTAGGATGTTGCTTATCAGGGATATGAATCGGCATATCACTGGTGCGTGATATGTTGGCTATCCAACATTACTGACATTGTAGCTTAAATTTACCCTCTTTCCTCCCCCAAGCTCTGTTCCATGTACCCCTCTTCAGGCCTGAAGAACCTGAACCACAAATTGTCTAAATAAATCCTTTGTTCAGCACCGATATCTGTCCTATGTTTCATTTCCAATAGCCATTGTGAGCTTAGAATCATAGAGGTTTCATGTACATCATGTGGTTCACTGGGCCCATCTGTAGGGAAGGTTCCCAGGAGAGGGAGACTTATTGATACAACTGACATTGGCAGAAACCTGGCAGGACCTTGAAAGCCTCACTGATTGAGACGCAGAGAACCGAAAGACCATTAATAGACACAGCTTCCATTGACTCATCTTCAGCTTTGTTTGGCAGCTGGGTAATTTGATTAGTAATATGTGCAATGCAAATATGTAGTTCATATAACCTGCAGGTTCTGTGACAAATAAAAATAAACAAAGGCTTGTGCTGGTTCAGTGAACAGACTGGACCTGGCAAGATCTGAAGTTTGATCTTTGGACTCTGCTGTGTTATCTGATCTCAGTCCGGTCCAGCTGTAAGAAATTCACTTCAATAGTCCTGGGTTAAAGGAGGAGAAAAAAAACATTCACTTGCCCCTGTTCCAAATTATTAAATAGCGTCCTCTTCTGGACATGCACATTGGACAGGATTGGATTTCTCTGCAATACTTTTTTTGAAAGTTTAATAGCCTGTCAAGATTCACTGCCAAGGGGTACATGAGGATTTCAGTAGTTTGTGAATCTATCACTTTTTGGCATAAATGTTCTGCACTATATTCATATATGATATCACATTTGCTGAGTTTTTATGGAGTTGTGATGCAGGTCTTTGAAATCCTGAGCAGCATGACGAGTGTGGATGTCAGCTGATTATATAACGTAAAGCGACACAAATACAAAGCTAAGTAAAAATCAGAAGTGTTTATTTCTAGATATTGGATTAGGCTCACAGAAAAACAACAATTAAATGTTATGTGGATTCAAACTTTTTTTTAATTAAAATAAACTTGGAAAGGTATATGGTTTATGGAAGACATTGCAGAATTAGTTGGCCCAATGCTCTGGAACACTGTAGGGTCACGGAAATGTCATCTGGCCAATGCAAATGGCCAGGGCTTCATAACATTGACTATAATGACTGCCGTGTTTCACCCACAAAATGTACAGTCACTTCAATTTACAGTATATATTCTGTGAAACACTTTGAGACGTCTCAAAGGTGTGATAAGGCACTATATCAAATTCAAGGATTATTATCATCATTATATTATTAGTTTAGGGAGTCAGAGAGGAACTGCAATGACTTAAAAGGGGAAATAGTGAGAGAGACCATCTTTTTAAAAATCTGAGAGATTGTTGACTGGGAGGGACACCAGGAGAAATGCTCAGTACACAGAAGAGTACAATTCCTGTGTCAGATAGCAGTATATGTACATATGGGATCCAATATTTTCTTTTCATCTCCTGGGGTGTTGTGCAAATCTTTGCACATTGACTGACCCACATTGACTGACACAAGGTGTCACACTCTTTTCAAATATTGAGCAACACCTCACAGATGTATCCTTCAAGCATTCAGTACCCCCTCATTGTTTTTTTCCCCCCCCCACAAATTTATCAGAACTGAAGTAATTTCATTCCACATTTGCTGCTGCTGTCCTGGTCAATATTACTTATGCAATGTTAGCCTCTGAAATGGAATAGTAATTTTATCCATTTATATTTTGATTAGCATTTATGCTGAGCCTGCATTAGCCTTAGATCTATGAAGATAGCAATACTTTCAATGGATGTGAATTTGGGCACATGTATTGAGGCATGAGAAAATGCCATGCTTTGATGAATAAAGCTCCTCCACAACATTTTTGTATTTTCACAAACTCATCTCAGGAATCTATAATATTTTAACTCTTTTGCAACCATTTCTCTTTATTGTGTGCACCAGTACTGCATTATTGGTATCACCTGATCAATGCCACCATTAAGCACACCATTCACATGCAAATGTCAGTACCTTTGGGTGCATTTAAAAATGAAACAAACGATTGAGAACTACAAATTCCAACTGATTAAAATGTTGGTCACTTAGAACATAAGAACATGAGAATTAGGAGCAGGAGTAGGCCATTCGGCCCCTCGAGCCCTGCCCCGCCATTCGATAAGATTATGGCTGATCTTCTGACCTAACTCTAATTACCTGCCCTATCCCCATATCCCCTAATCCCTCTATTTTTTGAAAATCTATAAAAAAAACTTCCTCATCTTTTATTCAATTTTTAATGTAAGTTAAAAATTTAATTAACTGTTTGTGGGACATTGCTGTGCGCAATTGGCTGCCGCGTTTCGCCCACAAACATACAATCAGTTCACTTTACAGTATATTCTGTAAAGCTCTTTGAGAAGTCTAGAAGACATGAAAAGTGCTCTTATCAAATGCAAGTATTATTATTAAGTTATTGCCACCCTTTTAGGATACTGTGACTTCTAATATTCTTCTACCAATATTTTTTTGTGCGTTAACACCTGGGTTAAGACCAGGTGAAATGCTCCATTTGACAATAGTGCATATGTGTAGAGGTCACTGCGCCACTGGCTGAATCTTGACACCTAAATCCAAAGATATAAAAAACTTTGGTGTTAGATACAGTTAGATGTGGCCCTTTGTACACCCCCACCCCCTGTCCCAACTAGATATTATCACTGTGCACTTGTGTTACTCACTTTGTGGAGCTCTATTGACTCTCCAGCAGTTGTTGTGAAGAATAATGTTTCAGCCCCTGTTTCATATGCTGTAAACAGCAGGCACAAAGCTTCTGTAGCCAGTGTGATTTTCAGAGAAGATTGTGACTGCTACCAGTGCAGTTCATGTTTTATTGTATATGTCACCATATTGCCCCCCTCTTTAATCTCTATAGTATTCTCTCCTTAAAAAGCCTTTCATGAACATCTGAAAGCACTTCACAAAGACAACAATGATCCTCAAGTGGGGAGGAAAGACTGTGCAATTTAAGGGTTTTACTTGAAGGTACGGGCATAAATTTATGTTTTGAAGAAGGATGATTTTGGAAGAGTGCCCTGGTGCCTGAAGATTCGACCACCGGACTGAGGGAGTGATGAACGTATTATAATCTCCTCTTTCAGTGACAGTCCTTGAGCGAGTGAGCTCTTCTTTAATATGAAATTCTAACCTAGATTCCCTGCAGAGAGCATTTTGACACTGAGCAGCTGTAGGTAACAGTTGGCATCCATTTTTAAAATTTTATTTATTTATTTAAATATTTTAAACACAGTTTTGGTTCCAAAGGGCCTGTGACGTAACTGAATCAGTTTATTCGGTATTTCTCGGGTCATTGGTCGCACGTGTACGGCTGAAATGGAACTACTCTTTTAACATAGAAATATTTTGATATACAGGATATAATTATATGAAGGTAAGATAGATTTCCTTCTGAGGGTTGAAAGTCCATCCAGCCTTGCTAATAATAACCTAGTTTATTATAGATCGGTTCCACTGGATCTCAATGTGCCCTGAGCAAGGACATTAATCTCAGAGCAGCTGTTCGCACTTGCATGTGCTGGGACTGATGAGCCTGCAGTTCACATGTAAAAGATACTGGGATGCTGAAAATACTCTTGATATTATTTCTTCCCTCCCCCACTCAATCTCTCTTTTCTTAATCTGTTAAACTCTGTCACCCAGCTTGTCCTCCCACTGAATCACTAAATTGACAACGAGCACACACCTTATTCATTCTGCTGCATACATAAGCACTCTGGATTAGGGCGCTATATAAATGCAAATTGTTGTACAATTCTGATAACCGTGACCCAACCCTCGAGAGGCAGTGCAGAGGAGAGCAACGAGGCTAATGATAATGAGCTATGAGCAACAATTAGATAAGTTAGGAGATAAGTCCTGAAAGGAGATAATAATAATCCTTGCATTTGATATAGCGCTTTTCACGTCTTCTAGACGTCTCAAAGCGCTTCACAGAATGATGTAAAATGAATTGACTATATTTGTGGGCAAAACGCGGCAGCCAATTGCGCACAGCAGTGTCCCACAAACAGTCGTGGATTGAAAATGACCAATTTATTATTGTTTTGTTTTTNGGAGGGATTATTATTATGCGTGTGGAATAAGGAAACTTGCCCAAGGTTTCGCCCTGCCTGGAATTGAACCCAGGTGTCTCACTTGCAAGTCAAGTGCTCTAACCACTGAGCTACAGGACTCCACAGATGTCTCAGAGGGAACATTATAGAGATATACAATTTTAAAAGGGGTTGGAAAAGTGAATATTACTTCATTACAATGTATTTGCTTATCACGACAACGTACAAAGCCATCTGCCAGCAAGCATTTTCATTATAAACCGACTATTTTCTCACAGGCAACTATTGTTCACGTATGAGGATCCTGCTGAACCTGTTCTGAAATAGCAGGAGGTGCCTGTTGCCAAGATTCTGCACTGTTTATATGTGAAGCTTCCAACTTTTGTTTCTTGGCTGTACAGCCCAGCAGCAATGGCAAATGATCCATTAAGCAGATGTGCAC